CAGCTGACACATGTTAAAATGTTGGTGTCCCAGTTTAGTCTCAGTTTGCTCCTCTTACAGCCTCCTTTATCAACATCATAATGACAACGCCTTTTACTTATATCTTGTAATTCCTCTGTTAAAATGAACTCCTGTTTAAAGAATGTCTGTCACGAGGGTTGGACAAGCTTTCAGTTATAAAGCAACAAACCAACAGGTGTATGTGAGTGAGTGAGCACAGCTGGGGAATTTACTGGGCATGTCTCAGCATGCAGGAATGTTTTATATAACCCTTTATGGCCCAGGTGTAGTAAATTATGTTCATCAGTAGGCGCTCAGGTGCTGACAGGACACTGACGTGAACATAGTCATGACAGATGAATGGCACAAAAAAACGGGGAGATGCTACCACGGGAATAATCTGTTCCGTAATGAAATCACACAGTTAATTTAACATTTATTTAATTGGAAAAGCCTCATTTAGATTAAGAATCTTGCTTACAATAGTGTCCCGGCTGAGACAGGCAGCAGCACATTTGAAAAAAGTTACAGACATAAAACACAAAGAAATTACAAAACAAAAGTCAAAACAAGTCCTGGCTCACAGCAGCAAGTCATAAGACAAAACCTTTACAACCTGATGCCTCTTCCTCCAACACCTTCAGTCTTATTTAAAAAAAAGAGAGCAGCTCCCCTAGAATAAAATCTTCCTGCAGGAGATTCCAAGCTGTAGAACTGGTGTATCTAAAAACTCCTTTCCCCAGTTGCAGTATACACTTGGGCTGTTGATAGTGAGAATAAAGTTTTGCGACTGGGTCACAGAGCGAAGAGTGTGGCTGTCAACATTTTACAAATGAATAAACTATTGCCTTATCAATAAGGATACAATGGCTACAACAGGACAAATGCCACACATTAGGATATGGGTTTGATGATGGCAAAATGAATCCCAAAATGTTGCTGATTGCAAATTATTATATTATGACACGTAGTATATTTATTGAATCAGGAGTTGGGGTCCATACCAGGTAATGTCCTAATAGCCAGACTGTTTAGCATGACCATTGACCTCACACTGTAAACGTTTCTGTGTCATCGTCTATGTGAATTTGCCTCATTGCATCGTACTCCTTCTTGTAGGCTATTAGCTCAGCTTGTGGGTGAAGGTACATTCATTTCTCTATGCCTGTACATGTTGAATCTACATGTGACAATAAAGAAACTTTGAAACTTGAGCCTTGAAAAAACTGGACAAAGCCACCCTGACCCTGATTGGTTTGTGCACCCATTTAAGAAGTCTAACCAAAATGTAATATCTTTAAGTAATGTGAAAAATTGGAATGCAGAGGTAGAAAAAATATTCTATATATATATATATATATACTTAAAATAGGAGCCTTTTTTCTTGATGCATTTATGTAAACTATTTACAGACATTTATTTTTCATGTCTTCTTGTTAAAGTACTTTCCATACACTCTTTAAACTGAATGAATGAGTCTTTTGTTTTTCAAGCTAAAGGCAATACTTTTAACACTTTAATTAATTTGCTCTTGCACTTTACATTTTTCTCTGAGAATGAAATCGATTTCAGAACTGATTTAGTTTCAAACAAAATGCCCTCAGTTAACAGCTGAAGAGTTGAACACCCTCGGGGAGTTCACATCTCTTCAATCACTCAGTTGATCCCTGTATAAGGACAAGTGACAGAGATACTATATATGAGGAATAACTGTGGCCTACAGATAGTCACAGATATGAGAAGTGAAAGCCATGCATTATCTTAATATAGCTTAAACGCAGCAAAACAGGGAATCCCTCAAGGGGAATCTAATAAAGTCAACCATTCATAAACACAGCCAGTGTTAAACCACTGACAACATGACCTTTCATTCTGTCTCATGTTGTTTCTTTAGATTTACACCAGTAGTCTGATGCAATTCCACTGATGCGTTCAATGACTTTGTAGTGCTCTGTGTAGTTTTAGTACATGAACCTGAAGCAAATTGCTAAATGTCAGAAATATTCAAATATTACTAATAACGTAAACACCGTCTCTGTCTTATTAAAGCATTTTTTTAAAGACCAGGGTTGGATTTTTTTACACTTTTACCTTTCCATTGCTCATCGAAACATCTTCAGTCCTTTCTATTTGGGTTGCAGGGTCTTACGTCTTCGGTAGAAAACGTGCATCCCATTCAATCTAAAACCTTTTATTTAATACCAAGTTCTTAACCATCTAATACAGTCTTTTTTTTTAAATGTATGGGTTAATACTTTATACTTATATGTTATACTAGATATAAGAGATATTAAAAAAGATATTTGCACTCAATGTTAATCACGCACATATCTGCACAACTGTACAGTTCCTGCATGGCACCTTTTGTATTTTTCTGGCAGTATTTCATTCTATGTTAATTTGCTTTTTGCACCAATAAACCAAGTCAGATTCTTTGAATGTAGATTCTAACCCATTGTCCTCCAAGCAGGAGGCCGGCTTGCAACTCCTTTCCCACTTTTCATTTCCCACTCTCTCGCTCCCAGATCCTATATTTGAGACCTAAAATAGTGTGTACAAAGGATCATGACTTGCCAAAAGTTTGATATCAACATGATGATTGGCTATAACAGGCACATTGACAACAATCATGTGAGCAATATGGGGGGGAAAGGGTGAAAGTTGGAGAAGTGGACAGATTCTTTGGTATATGTTCATAACTCTATACACAAACTGTCCTCAGAGGAAAATGTGGTCCCTGTAAAACTGTTTGAAGATGAAATGCTACACAAGAAGTTATGGTAGGGAGCCCGCAACAGTGAAACCGTAACTCTCCTGGTAGCTTTTTAGCTCCAAACAGAGTTACAGGGACTCATTTTTTCATTTGAATACATTTTGTGTATTTAGTTCAGAAAATATAGTATGGAATTGTTTCACTTCACCAACTTTCAAATTTCACTACCAAATCTACATGGTGCACCTTTAAGGGCCAGTGGATGACAGGGGCCCCTTAACAATACCAGAACATTATTTAATTGCCTTTCAATATTAAATATGTAATATTAATTTAATATACTCTTATTTTTTAATGTGGCCCCAAATCCCTGGAGGCACTCTGCCTGTGAGACAACAAACCCTGTAACCCTTGTGCCAGGATTAAGTGAAAATTGGGCCAGCATTTTCATAACCTAAATGGATCACTCATTCAATTATGTAGCTACACCAACGCTTTATAAAATGATTTATTTTAGAAGAAGACTATGAACACATCTCTTCTATCAGCTCAGTATGTTGTCATCATCACACGTTGTCATCATCACACGTTCATTGGATCCGTATAGGTCTAACTCATGGAAGTCGTGCAGCAGAGAACTATTTCTACATTTCTGCAGGTTTCTACTGCTCTCTAGTGTCTGCACTTGGATCGTACACCAGGAGGGCTCACAGTTTGCTTCACTTTCATATCAGCCCGCTCCAAATAGCGGGAGACTCTCGAGGCTAGATGTGGTTGTGTTACTGACGGAGATACCCGAAGCTTTACGAGACGGTTTCAATACAATATGCTTACAGGCAGCTGTTCACTGCTTTGAACTTAACAAAACTCTGACAACTATACAGGACCAAAAAAGAAATCACCTACATTTAACTATGTACATATAGCCTGATTAAAAACTTTGAAGTACTTGTAACATAGCCTAATTCTATACCAAACATCTCATCTTTTTTTAATTTTAAACTAAATTTACAGATAAGATTTTAGATTTCAAAAATATAAAATTGGTGAGAGATTAAAACCAACAAATTAAAAACATATATACATACATATATAGTTTACTGTGCATTCATAAAGCCTAATTGTATACTAGGCTACGAATTATATTTTGATGAGGAGATGTTTTTAACTGGTGTGCATTTTGCTAATCTTTCAACAAAGAAAGCCAACAGATTCTTACTTGTATTTGTGTATGTTTCACAACATTAAACTTAAAATGATTATAAAACATTTTCAACCACCACTTACTGTGAATATAGTAATTGAAGTAGGCTATTGCAAAATGATTGTCCTCATAGCAGAAAAGCTCCCGTTCCGTTTCGGCTGTTTCCGTCGATCACGTGACTCCAATAGTCTCTTGTGTTTCGGCTCGGCTCGTTCCTTCGGGATTCCTCCCCCATCCCCCTGTTGCCGGTTTAGGTTGGTCAAAACATTTCCCGCGTTCCAGTTGGTCAACGATCTGGTGGTCTCTTCCCTGATTGGCTGACAGAAACAGGGCGGTCCGGTTCGTACCGAGTGTTCTTCCGGCTTACATGTTGGAAAAAAAGAAAAGACGAATGGAAAAAATTGTAATCTACAAAGCGAATATTGGATTGTAACTCTGCAAAACGGTAACATCTGCACTTATCATGTTTATTTGTTCCGTACTGGGAAGTTTACACCGTTGTACTCTTCAGAAAGTCCAGGTTTTAGCACTGAAAGCAGGCGGTATCAGGGTTAGCCACTCCAACGTTAGCATTATGCTAGCTGAGATAGCTTGCTAACAAGGTAGCATTTTTAGTTTTGAGTCCCCCGGACAAAAAACGAGACACCACAGTAGAGATTTTCTGACTGAACTGGTTTCGCGTTTGGCTATTTTGATGATGGCAGTCGAAAAAACATTTAGTAACTGCACACTAAACTTGATATTTGATAAAAAATCCGATGCAGGTGTTGTCGAACAGTTCTGCCATATGTTGTTGTGCACATACATCGTCAAACAAAAATGTATTGTGTTGATTTTCGTGCTGTAATGCAGTTATACACCTCTGTTAAACCAGTTTTAGTAACACTAATATTATGGACTTGCTGGTAATGGTTAAATATACCGCAGTGTTTTGTTCGTCTGTTTGTGTCTCCGCGCCGACTGAACGCTTCTCATGACGTAACTGGTGATCACGTTCATGTTGTGAATCTCTAAATCACACATATCTTCAGTTTATAATTAATGTACAAATATCGACTACCTTTCAGCCCGGAAAAGGTTAAAATGAGCTCGCAACAATTCCCCCGACACGGGCTGCCTGCCTCCAGCGGGGGAGCTCCTCTGATCCCTACAGCTGCAAACCTAGTGTCTGTCAACCAGCCCTCAAATCCTGCAGGTAACTTAATGCCATTGAGATGAATCGAGCATACTGCATGTTGGGAAAGAAGACGCCAAGTAGTAATAAAGTGTTTTTGCTTTGCAGGTGGAGATGCAGACAGCAGTAGGGATGCTGCTGATCATGGCCAGCAGGATCATCCACCTGCAGGGGTTGGGGGAGCCTTGGCATTCAGAGATGAGAAGCAGGAGACAATGGTGGTCCGACCTTACCCACAAGTCCAAACGCATGGCCAGCCACAAGCTGCTCCCCAGGCAATCCCTATCCAGCCAGGAACAACTGTGACTGTACCCGCCCCTCCAGTCCACCTCACACAGGGCCAGCCTGCAGTCCTCACAGAGGGACAGATGAAGGTGTGGATTATCTCTTTGTTCGAATTTCCAGAAGCTTTGGCTATAAATAAATCTAAAAAATGTAGTTTATTTGCCATTACTAGTGTGAGTGATGCACAGAGAGATGTTAATAGATTTGTAAATATACCATGCACTCTGCAGTGAGAGAAAAATGATCAGTTGCTCACTTAGGTTCAGTGATCGCTGGCTCATGGAAGATAACCTTTTGAAGTTTGAGAGCTCGGCTGTTGTCAAATGTTGGGTTTAAACCATAACAATAGCTGTTTTTTTCTGCCTACTCTTGTGCCCTACAGACAAAGACAGACAGGTTTTTATATTAATGTGTGTTCAGTATCATCAGGTTTAGTCTGCTTGGCCTTGTTTGTTGTCAGCTGGTACAGTAGTATAAAACTATAAAAGTTATGTGTTGGTAACCTAAATTAGTTGGGATTAATCCAGTATTTTAAAGATTTATGCTACCTTGTTAAAAAAAGCAACCAAAGGACACTTTCCAGTTGTCTGTCTCATGAATCTATAGCTCGCACACTATTATAATAACTTTATTTATGTTGTTTTGATATTTTACAACATTTTTGAGTGTCGTTTCTTTCAGTGGGCATACACTTATACAAATATATAAGAATTTGTTCTCGTAACGTCCTATAATACATCTTCTGTAGGATCGCTTTTCCCTATGAAAACCAAGATATTTGTATTAAACTTATAGGGATGAAGTCTTACTATGCAGATCATTCAATTAAACTAGGATGATATGATTTTAGGTAGGTTATTGTTGTGTTAAGGGCCTTAGTTTAACTATTTATGCTTGCAAAATTAAGGTGAATATTGCTGTCTCCATTTGTGTTGGATAAACTATTTACTCAATAAGTAAACAATTGAAAACAATTTGTTCCCAAGATGACTTTGATAGCTGATTCTTTGTCTTCTGCTTCACCTTAAATTGACTGCATGTGAAAACTTTAAATACAAAAATACAACACTGCAACACCTTTTTTCCTATTGACATTTATTGGTTAACTAGTCTTTTTATTTATCTTAACATCTTTCAGGACTTTAAATAAGTAATGGGACATTTTTTCTTTGTTCTTTTTTAGGCTGTTCTCAAGTCCCCTATGCCAAGTCGTCTTATTGCCCCCGCACCAGCCTCCAACCAGGCTCATATTCCCATACCTCCCAAGGTGCCTAGTCACATTACTGTCACCATTGAGAGCAGTGTTGCTCCAACCCCGTCTATTCCTGTGGCAACCATCAGTGGTCAGCAGGTAAGTGCAATGTCACAGTAACTGTCAATGTACATTTTTAAAAACTTTTTTCTGCTGATTACTGCAGACCTGCTTTCATTGTGTTTCAGGGTCACTCCAGCAACTTACATCACCTGATGCAGGCTAATATTCAGCTCATTAGGAGTAGTGCCCCGCTGCAGATTGGTACCCCTGCTGTCCCTCCACACACCTTCACATCACATTTACCCCGAGGTGTGCATGATTTAACAACAGCGATATGACCGACTGAGGCTATATGTTTGCTTGTCCTTGAAACAGTTGTACTTATACAACATGTTTGCTGATGCGCTTTCCTCATAGCTGTATTTGTCTTTTCTTTATAGGGGCCGCCGCCGCCGCTGTTATGTCCAGTTCAAAAACTGTGTTACGACCAGCAACAGGAGCAAGTGCAGGCCCGGGCCAGCCCACAGTGCAGCACATCATCCACCAGACTATACAGGTGCTCTCATATGCTTCAATCTATAGAAGTGTAGATATTTGTTACGCATCTTAAAAACATTGTTTGTAACAGTGTTGTACCATTTTTGTCCACAGTCCCGCCCTGCTGTAACAACATCTACAGCTGTTCTTCCAACTGTGGTGGCCCCGATTTCAGCAACGAGGACTCAGTCTCCAGTCATCAGTCCTTCAGTCACACACTCTGCAGAGGTGGCACATGGGTACGTAACAGTTTAAGAACTACACCAAGCAGAGATGCTGCATTTAAAAGGTTGATCCCCGTTTAAATTGATGAGGAGGAGTTTTACATCAAATTAAACAACGTTTGTGGTCATTAGTTCTACCAATATCTGTGAGACAGCCTTAAGGTATGTCAGGGATATATGTATCACAAGGAAATGTCAAATAGTTTCATATTTATTCTCACCATGGGCTGGACTGTTGAAGTGTTTCTTGACACAGAAGCCTAGAATTAAAAAAGCACCTGCCCTCAAAGGTACATACAGTAACCTGTGAAAAGGAAATCCCAGCTGCTCTTTGTGCAGTTATTTGTCGAAGCAATGTTAGAAGGAGGAATCTTCAGGGCAAGGATTTAGCTCAGCCAGTAGAGGAGGCTCTCCATGTACAGAAGCTTTAGTCCTCAACGCATTGGCCATGGTTTCCACTCTGGCCTCGGCACTTTGGTGCATGTCTAACCTACGCTCTCTCCTGAGCTCTCATTGAAAAAATAAAGCAAATAAATATTAAAGAAAGAATTCAGTATCCAAAAACTTCTGAGATACCCAACCTTTGTGACCCTTTGAAATTTATCAGCTCCTGTCTACACCTTTATGTCAGAGGTTTTAGCGAAAGGCTGGACACTTGCACATAAGGATTACTCTTCTGTCTCAGATTTTTCACAATGGAAATTTCTTGATGATAATTTGTCTAGTTTATAGCAAAAATTGAATTAAAAAGAAGTAATTGAAAAATCAAATTGAACATGAAGATGTTGTAGCACTGATGATTTCTTTTGCACCTTTATCCGATTTTGAACCGCATGTTTTCTGACACACTAAAGGAGCAGTCATTTTTTTTTTCTTTTTCAGGCGTCCAGGTCTTACCATTCACCCCCCTCCGGCCACAGTCAGTATTCAGAGGTCACAGACGTCCCGGGACACCGCAACACGAATCACGCTACCGTCTCACCCTGCAATTGGAGTTCAAAAACCTCAGCCACCACACACCATGACACAAGTAAGTGCTACTGCCTACAAATAATACATTAAGAAAAAAAAAAGAAAAAATAATAAATATATATATATATATATATATATATATTTTTTTTTTTTACAATTTCCCGATCTGATGACATGATCGAATCTGTGACTTAAATTTGTTATTGATTAAACATAATGCCTTCTCAGTTAAATGTACTGTAACAGATGTGTATAGGACATAAAAACAAAATTTGTTATTTTGGCCGGTAAAAAAATATGTTTGGCTGGTGAATTTTTTCATCTACCTGCCACCTTGGCCGGTGAGTCAAAAAGTTAATTTCGGAGCCTGGACTGAAATATTTTTTATATGTACTGTTCTCCACAGAAGCCAATCTTTAGTCCTGTGACACCTGTAGCTGCAGCGACTGTGGCACCAATTGTTGCCACCAACACTGTGCCATCAACAACCACAATAGGTATTTACGTTCTATCTATCCATGTTGACATGCTAGTCATAAATCTGTGTTATCTTTGACTCTTATTGCAAAAATTAAAGTAATAATCAGGCAGTTAATTGAACTGAAGTGTTGATAAACCTGTCTTCTTCATGTTTAGGCACAGTGCCACACTCCCAAATGAACAACAGCACTATTGTCACCATGACGATGGCTTCCCACCCCTCTCACTCTACAGCAGTAACAACCTCCGCCATCCCTGTTGGTGAGTTCAGAAGCAGGAGTTGTTACCTTAATCGACACAAGTCCCCACAGGGATTTCTCTTGCATCTTTGTCTTAACTCCTTCTTAATGTGGCTCACAGCTAAAGTGGTCCCTCAGCCCATCGCCCACTCTTCATCCCGAGTGCAGCCTGACTATGCTGGAGAGAGAGCCAACCTCATCCCCATCCCAGGCCATCGCTCGTCTCCTAACCCCGTCACCATGGAGGCAAGAACTGACAACAGGTGAGCACACAATGCTGTTGGAATGTGTTTGAATAAGTCGCAGCTTTTACAGGAAGCCTTATTTTCTGATCAAATATATTTAAAAAACTGAACGGAATAAAATCGCCCCATATAGTACACCCTAACTTAGATATTAAGTCCAAAACGTGTTGAACTTCAGAGGGTTAGTTTAAACCTAAAGGCAACAAAAAGCCCCCCAAAAAAGTAGGGGGAAAAAAATAAATGTTCCATATCAGCAGTTTAACCAGATCATTTCCTTCTTTAATGCCCTCAATTTTGACATTTATGAAAGGGGACTATTTCATGTTTTGTTGCTTAATTAAGAGTAACAACAACTATTAGGCTGAACAGAATATTGATTATAGTATGTAGTATAGACAGTGCTGAAAGGTTGTCCTTGAAAAGGATGAGCTCATTGAGTATTTATCACTTTTGCAAACAGCTGTTCTTAATAAACACATCCACGCAGGCACAGTTCAAAGCAAGTCATAGCCCAAGTTAACATCTGAGCCAGCTTTTAATTATGGAAGCTTTGTTTTATAATCCACAAAAGATGGAAATGTAGATTATGAACATGAACGATTATTAATTCCATATCTTGTTATTATTTGGAAATTATTTTGTATCTACATTGATGCTGATTTAAAAAAAAAAACATCATGAACACAGTTAAACACAAGGTGAAACATTCAGATTTTTAAGTGATGGATTAATTTTTAAAATGTTTTCTTTTGCAGGCCTTCTGTGCCGGTGCAGTTTCAATATTTCCTGCCGGCGTACTCCTCTTCATATCCTCTGACACACACTTACACCCCCATCAGCAGCTCTGTGTCCACCATCCGCCAGTATCCTGGTAAGCATTGTTTTCTTCCGCTTGTCACAGTTAACTTTATAATTTATCCTTTATTAATCCTGAAAGGGAAAATTTGGTTTAACACTCTGTTTAATGAACATGAACACACACATGCAGAAACAGGATCCTATGGACATGCATTAAAGGAGAGATGTCAGAGTGAGGGGGCTGCCCACAGTGAGCGCTCCAGAGCAGTTTTGGGGTTCAGTGCCTTGCTCAAGGGCACATCGGTAGTGCTCAGGAAGTGGACTGGCACCTCCCGAGCTACCAGGCCAATTTCCGGACTTAGTCTGTGTTGGGACTTGAGACGGCGACCCTCCGGTTCCTGACCCAAGTCCCTATAGACTGAGCTACTGCCGCCCCCACTTTGCACTTACTGCTGTAGTTGCCGTATGAAAGCACCATATTGTACTGTTTTTATTTTGAATAAAATAGTTTGAAGTTTGAACTAAAATGTGAATTGTGACAGCAGTGAGTTCAAAATGAATCTTAATACTTGACTTAATTTTTCCTTTCAATAAGTTACTCCTCAAGCTCCCAGTTCAGCCCTGCCAACACAAGCTGGAGTCGGCGTGGCAACCACCGTCCATCTAAACCACATGCAGCTGATGGCACAAATCAGCACCCAAGGGATCCAGCCTGCACCAATCGCTGCACAGGGGATTCAGCCTGCACCAATTGGAGTGCAGGGCCTTCACACATCTGCACCGATCACAACGCAAGGATTACAGCAGACACCGCTAGTCACTCAGCAGCAGCAGCAACAGGCTGAAGCCAAACCAGGTAATGACTGAACCTACATGCTTAGTAAAATGACACTGTGTTTCATTGTTGAGGGCTGTCTGTAATGCATATGTTCTTTATCCAGGGGTTGTTTTGGCTGATGGCTTTGTAGCGAGCCCCATCAGCACCACATTCGCCACCACCCAACCGGTAGCCAACATGGTGCAGGCACACACCCAGGGAGGAGTAGGAGGAGCCCCCACCCTCGTCTCATCCCCGAGACCCAGCATCCTCCGCAAGAAGCCAGCTAATGAAAGGTGAGTGTACGACATTATATTAGACAGTGGGAGTGGGCGAAGTGTACCACTATTTTCAAATTCATCTCCTAGTTCCTATATTTCTTAGTAAGATGAGCTTTTAAGTTTGATTTAGCAAACTCTGGTCAATCGGTCTCGACTTGATGCATACAACAAGAGTCAAATATGCATCGTTTTATCTGCTCCCTTTAAACAATCGAGTTAATCTACATAGACAAATTACAGCAAAAGAATCAAATGCAAAATCATTCAATAATAAAACAAATAATAATTAAAACTGAAAAGAGTAACGATAGAAATAAGACATCAAGTAACACAGTTATAACATATAAAGATTCAAGTAATATAAATCAGTATGATCAAAATAAGCCTTAAGAGAAGATTTTAGAACAGCACTGATTATTTTAATGTATGTTTCTGACGTCTCTGAAGACTTTATGCCATAAAAGCAGAAGCTTTGCCCTGTAGAGGAAGGCAATGGGGGGGACAGTCATGAAGATAAACAAGAGATCATTATACTGCAGGATACATCTCAGTTAGTTTAGAAGTTATCATTCAATAGTACCACCTAAGAAGATTTTTGTGTTAACTCTGTTTTAGGTTTTACAGTTTTTTGTCAACAGGTTGGCACACAGTTGAGTTGAAGATGTCAATCACATTGTCAGCTTATACCATGTTGACAGTCAATAAATTAAAGTGGACATAAACTTGTGTAAACTTTCACTGAGCTAACCCTGCCTGTGTTTGTGTTTCAGTTGTGTTCGTAAAAACCTGATCCCCGCCCAGCCCAGTGAAGCAGCTGGAGGCAGAATGGAGAGTGGTGTGAGAGGAGCAGGATCTCCCCGACCTGCAGGGTGAGCCACTGTCACAATGATCGCATCACTTAAAAATCCCATCCGTTCTTTGTCATACATGATATTTAAGCTGACCCTCCTGATTCCTCTCTCAGTGTGAAACCTAAAGCTGAGATGCACATGGCGGTGGCCCCTCCTGTCATGGCTGCAGTAGAAGCGCTGCCCTCTCAGGGAGGAGAGCAGCAGTCTATGTCCTCAAACCCTCAGCATCTTGCCCAAGCCATCCCCACCATGCTTGCCACAGCAGGGCCCATATCCTCCTCCCAGCCCTCCGCTGTCCTTCAGCCCTGCCGGCCTCCATGGCTGTTACTCCTCCTGTTCCCGCATCGATGGCCAACACTGTGGCGTCCCCCACTCAGCCTGCAGCCAGCAGCACTGCAGCCTGTGCTGCCAGCTCCACCTGCCCAGATCTGAAAATTAAGCAGGAAGTAGAGAGCATGGACACGTCTCAACAAGGTGAGGAGCACAAATGTATACACAGCATTTGCAAATCTGCTGATCTCTTGGATGTCTGTATGGCTCTGAGATCTATTTGTGGATCTATTTACACATTTATAAACAGTTTTACACCAACAATGTCTCCATACACGGCAGTCTTTAGTGAAATTGATATTAGAATTAATTTAAGGAAAGTCAAATTCCCACATAACTGAACATGTTTATATTTTCCTTCAGATCCAAATGCAAACTTGTCATCAGCCCCCGTCCTCAACACCCCGGGCTCCACTCTGAACACTCCAGGAGAACTGATCCCAGGGGCCTCACCGAGGAAGAAGCCCCGCAAGCAGCAGCACGTTATATCTACAGAGGAGAGTGAGATGGTCGAGACAAACAGCACAGATGAAGAGAAGGCTCCGGGTAGGCCCATCACTGGCAGGGCTGAGAGACGAGAATCTCCACCCAGGGAATATGTCGGTATGTAACATAGTTCTGTATATTTTTTGCCGCTGCTAATGATAAATGTTGATAACGTGCTGAATTAAAATAAAAAAACATTTCTTCCAGATGAGGAAGGAGTGCGTTATGTACCAGTCCGACCTCGACCACCCGTCACTCTTCTGCGGCACTACAGGAACCCCTGGAAAGCCGCCTACCACCACTTCCAGAGATACAGCGACATCCGGGTCAAAGGTAAGTGGCCTCCTGCCCACATGCAATAAAAAAACAGTGGATTTATGTACCCTGAGAGACTTTATGATGCAAACGTTTTCCTTATAACAACAAATCTTTGCTTCTCTCTGCAGAGGAGAAGAAGGGCAGCTTGCAGGACATGGCCAATCAGAGAGGAGTGGCCTGCAGAGCACAGGGCTGGAAAATTCACCTGTGTGCTGCTCAGCTCAGGCAGCTGGTGAGTGCTGACCACAGACCGTGTAGTGCTGTTCACTTGAAAAACTTCTCAAATGTGCAATGCCTACATAAAGGCTGAGTTTACTTTGTGGCTGAAAGAGCGAGTAGTTTCATTCTTGCTCCATTACAGACTCCTCACACACGGGTTGAAATAATAATATCACAGCAATGTGACCCCATTAATGTACAATGACAAGGTGGTAGGTGAATACTTTTGTAACTCAGTGACCCTTATTATTCATTCAATCTTCTTATGAGGTCAATATTTCTGCGCCACCTTTCTCTTTTGTTGTCTCTTTTTCTCTCTAACACATTGTGTCCATCATTGATCTGCAGTCGAGTTTGGAGCATGACGTGTACAGCCGCCTCTCCACCCTTCAAGAGGGCCTGATTCCAAAGAAGAGAGCAGGAGCCGACGATGACCTCCACCGGATCAACGAGCTTATACAGGTGAGGGTGTTACTACAGGAAGAGACCTTTTAGAGAATGAATGTCTCTGTTTAGTTATTTGTAATCTTTGCATCTCAAACATGTCTGTGAATAATACATACATTACACGTTGAGTTATAGAAGGTACTTTTTGATATACTATGTGGACTATATGAATGATGTCATGTTGTTTGATGCACGCTGTAGTTCTCGTTTGAGGCTATGACCCGGAATATTCTATATTGTGATGATTGGTTATGTGACCATGTGATTATGCTGGGCCAACCTGAGGAAGCTACAGGCGAGACTCATTGGTCGCTCACAATAAAGTGACAGTAAAGTGATTTTCATCGTGCCACGGGTTGTTGATTTATGTTCTTGCAACCGACCGGCGCCTGAAATGTAGGTTGGATGTGCACTTGTTACCCTGTTGGTCATTTATATTGTACTTAAAGTTGTATTGATTAATTGATCACCTCGTTTTAAACTATTGGATTATTTAAAAGCTGTTTTGATCATTAATTAATATGTTTGAATGCTGTTGATTATTTTAATATTTCTGCTACAATGTTGTGCATTGAGAGGTTAAATGTAAACATTTGTCCACTTGCCCATGACTGTTTTTTTTTTCTTACTCTCAATCTTTTACATGCAAACAATTCAGGCTACAGCTTAACAGCTACCGTGTGTCAACCCCTTCAGACGATGAGAGTACTTCCTGTAATATTCTCAGTTTAAGAGGAGGAGTAGATTTCCCCCTCAGCCAAAGCTTGAAGCTTGTGATTGAACTCTGGTGATTAAGACAAATAGAATTTGGTTGTGAGTGTTATTGTTATCAGTTTGTCATGTTCATTTGTGTGGTCTGGTAAGTCTTATGTAGGTTAGATTCTGTTCAAGTTCCTTTCCCTTTGACAACTTTAAGGAAATGCTGTTTGGACATTTTCTCTACTTATTTGCATCCAGGTGTAAAAATGTTAAATGAGCACAGGCAGGTGAAAATGTCACACAGACCTCGGCAAAGTGTGATATCACTTTAACTATGCTAATAGGTGGGCACTTGTGGACACATCTAGACTAAATAGAGTAAAAAACCTGCTGTTCCTGGTCAAATCATTGTTTTTAATGACACGTTTGCTTTCAACATCTGAAGGTGTTTTTTTTTTCTGTTCGTCCTCAGGGTAACATGCAGCGCTGTAAGCTGGTGATGGACCAGGTGACCGAGGCCAGAGACACCATGATGAAAGTGCTCGACCACAAAGAGAAAGTGCTGAAGCTGCTGAACAAGAACGGTGCCGTCAAGAAGTCCTCTAAACTGAAGCGTAAAGAACGAGCATGAGTTTCTTCCTCTGGACAAACCCCGCCGCCGTCCCCTCTCTGAAGGGGTGAAGGAGCTGCTCAGAATTTTGGTGCTATGATTTGCTGTAAACAATCACACGCACCCTCCCTATCTGCCCAAGAGCCCGACGGAGAGAAGTGACCGGGAGGGGCCTCGAGAAGCAGAAAAACTCATCAGGAATATGCTCTCATTAAAGATCCAATACACATTTTGAGTGTGGAGCATCCTAGGTTTCATTAGAGTGGCAAACTGGATGGCCCTGTTACTGTTAACCCCTTTTTTTTTTTTTTGGAAGAGAATATTTTTACTAACTTAATATCTGCCTCTTCTTTTAAGAAAACATTTGAACCGGCCCCATTGTGAATCTTAGACTTTTGGCACTACATGCAGGTGCAGTAAATTCCTGTAAGTGATGGAAGGATTTCAGTAAAATTTCAAACGACTGGAGAGTCTTTGAACAAGGCGGAATCAATTAGAAGCAGTTCTTTAGTATGCTGTGTGTATACAGACTAATCTCAATCGTGCTCTTTTCATTAATCTGTGCCTTCATTTTGTCGGTGTACATGAAGCGGACAGGGCAGACGTGTGAACGCTGTTCCACATGCTGATAAATCTTAAAATATCATTCAAAGGAAAGTTTCAGGTCAAAGTTACAGCTTCCCCTTTTTGTCACATCTCTGCACCTGGATTTTTTTTTTTCAGTTTACATTTGTTTGACGAGTATGGGTAAAACAAATACCTCTATCAGCCACACGTTTATGAGACATGTTAGAGATAATGCATTATTGAGGGGTTAAGAAATATATAAAGACCTTAAATGTGGCAAATTGAATTTATTTAGTATGCAAAAAATGCTCTTAAAGGATAAATGTTGAAGTGAGAAGATACTGCATAATGCCAAGATAAGTATACATTGAAACCTGCTGTGAATCATCTACTTAATCCAGAGTAAATGGAGGTCATGGTGGACATATTTTCATTTGGTTTCAGAGAGTAGAGTGTTGAAGACAGAGAGCGAGACACTTTGTGTGATCCTACCGATGGATTGAATTCATGTAAATCACTGTAAATGTGCTTTTGTTTTTTTTGTTTTTTTCCATTGACCCGGTTTCTTTTCAAGTTTTGTACTCGATGAAACGTTTTTGTGCAGTGTGATGTGAGCTGCTTCACTTTGCAGAGTGTAACGATAATGACATTATGAGATGAAGTGAGCCTGAAGACATCCAGCTGTTGTACATTGTTTTTGTCTGTGTAATTATAGTAAAGATACTTAAACAATACCAGGTACACTGTAATGTTTGTATCATGCTCTGTTCATTTCTTTATTTGAACACTTAGTCTTTACTCAATTTCCATTCTAATATTTGCTTCTTGTATTGCTTGATTTACATGGTCAAAGTTTCTGTTTTCAAGTGAAGCCTGAGACAGGTTTCTCAAAGTATTATATTGCAATTTTAAAACGTTCTAAAACCTCAAAAGCCCTTTAAACCCCAAAATGAAGCTCAGCGTAAGTTGAAACAGGAAGAACGTTTCATACTGATTCATGCCTTCATTAGTCATCGTTCATTTAGGTCACTTCCTCTCCCTCTGTCTTCCTGCTCAGGTGATCAGCTGATAAGGGGCATTTACTCTTAAGCCGGATTCTGCAACCGCCTCTATGGACCAGTCATCCTGCTGCTTTCAAACCTGTCCTCTCTTTCGCTGTCAGCTTGTCGCTTCAGTTTGGTCGCTGCAACCCTTCCTCCTCCTCCAGCCCCAGTCCCCTCAATTCTTGGGTCAATTCCAGGGTCCAGGTCCAGATCCTCCTAAGTCAACTACTCATCACATCCTGCAAACTTCCATCAGATCTTCCGACTACATGAAGGGGAAAATGAACAATTTTGTATTTTTTTCCAAACTTGTAAATGAAATAATTACTCTCATAATTTTGTCTCTCCTGATTGACATGTGTACAGGTAGGCCTACTGCCCATGTTAAAAAGATGTGATTAACTTTGAAGAAGCTAGACATTTCTGCACGTTATTATATAGCCTATCATCACATCCAATAGTAGGACTCTATATGATGACCTCTTAAATTATACCTATAAACATGTTAAGTGCCCAGATATAGACCTACATTACTGTATATTAATTGGATATTGTGTTCAGTGTTTATATGATCTGTTTTTTTTTAACATCTTTGAAAGTCGTTGTATATTTTTGGTTCAGTCTGATCGGTCAACAGTGTCACAGGCCATTCGCCTAGTCAGACCCGGTTCTAGAGCAAAATGACTTAGGGTTCATCGAAAGGGGGTGTAGCTACAGTGACCGACAACAGCAATGAGAAGTAGCGTAGGTGCTGCTGTGGGTCCGGGTCCCAGCGTCTCACATGTGGTCCCTGGTGAACAGACAAGTCATCATGACTATTAGATCATGGATGTAATAAACACGACATGAGTCACTGTTGTCATTTGAAAGCCTTGATTACTTCTTGTAAAATAATTTAATTGAGGGTGCAATATTTAAAATCAGGGTACAATGCTACCTTTTGCACCCTTGTTGAAGCGGTCCTGCGCCTGGTGTTGATGGAATGAGCTGTTGTATCAGTAAGATCTCTTTATCACGTCTCCAAAGTGAGTACAGTTTTTCCTCTTTCCTATCTCCTGTTTACAACATAATGAGCTCTGAGGTACAGATAAGTTCACCTGTGACACCTGCTTATGGCTCAGGATAACTGGCATTTAGATGGTCCACAGTTTTACCATGGATTATCATAATTCAATATTTCAAAGTAGAAAATACGAAGAAAAAAAAATGCATTTTTAAAGAAGGACTAATTTCTGTTAGCAATGACAAGAAAATGAATACACGTTTATTTCCCTGAAGTTGTTTCTACATTTCTGAAAGGCTCAATTGTTTATGTGTTTTAATTCTAAGATATTTCGTGTTTACATATCAGTCTGTTGGAGTAGTAATGATGTATATTGTCAGCATGACAGCATGTGTTTTATCATTTTAAATTACTATTAACCATTCAACAGGACACAGTTACTTAACTCTGGTTAAAACATCTAAATCTAATGCTCTGTGATGATATTATGTATTCAGGCCTCGTGTTCAGCAGTAAGTGGCTCTACCTTTGCAGGTGCAAAGTCAAAGGGTCATAAAGACGTGTTTGCTTGGAAACCTCCCTTCCTCCTTCACTGTCAGTCAAGACAAAGTTCCCTCAGCAGCAGGAACAAGAGAAACAAGGTGAGATTAAAGCTTTACTCACATCTAACACTCTACCTCTTTGATTGTGAAGAGTTAATTTGAATATTCTGGTGTCATTTTTTTGTGATGCTTGAGATAAGATCATTACTGTCTTGAGTCATTGACCTGCTGAATGGCAGTCAGTAACATTCAATTAACAAAAAAACGTGTTCATTCATTAGAATAACCTTACAAACTGTGTCAACGATTTATGTAACATTAAAATATTTTCTTTTTGCTAATAACTACAACCTGTTGCTGTAAATATCAAGTTGAGACATTATCTAAAGTCTGCTCATGTATTTTGTAACCTAACTAACAGTTGTTTCAGCTTGTTTGCAGGTTTAAGTTTATATTTCCTTTAATAGGAAGGATTTTGAATGAAGGTTTGTTGGTTTTCCCTTTAGACTTAATCCCTGTTTCTGCAATGCTGCATTTGAGTAAGGTGAGGAAACCTATGTCTAATATATACGCAGAATTCTCAAAGTTCATCATTTTGAAATACACCCCCCCCCATAAGTACAGGGCAGTTTAGTAAGAGAGTTTGTATTATGTCTGTTTTTCAACGACTAGGGTGATTTTGTATGGACGGACTCTGGTGCTGGGGTGCCGATCGGGGCGGAGGTGAAGGTGACTGACACTGGACAGCTCCAGCTGGTCGATGATGAAGGAAAGGTACAAAAAAACCACAACCCCCCTTTTGTTTCTATCAGATATAGTCAAAGTTGTCTTACGTAAAATATAATGCCAACTCTTTGGTAACAAACATACAGACGCACAAAATCAACAAGAAGACGGAGGGCACCATCCGGCCCATGCACCCCACCTCTGTGAAGGGTGTGGACGACATGATAAGGCTGGGAGATCTGAACGAGGCCGGGCTCCTCAGGAACCTCCTGGTGCGACACAAAGAAGGCATCATCTATGTAGGTTTCTTTTCTCTGGATTTCTCTCTGAAACGCCTAGTTTTTATGGTGTCCATAACCTGCTGTGGAAATGTTTACTCGTCTGTGTCTTTCCCCCGCTGTGAACGACTTTATATCTCAGACTTTGCCCTGTAGTTTATCACTGTGCTGTTTGTCTCCATAGAGACCAATGAGCCTCTGTTTAGTGAGAGCGTCCCAGTGTTTCTGTGTCACTGCAGCAGAGCTCAACAGTGTTTACTGTTTTAAATCAGGACTGTTTATTTCTTAAATCATGCTCACGCTAAATCATCGGAGCAAATGTCCTAATGCTAATATTCCATTGTCTTTGTCTTTCATGGTTATAATTCATCCATGACTTTTTTCTAATCCAATGGCTCATATTAAGATCATACATCAGCCGTAACGTTATGATCTGCTATGCAATCCAATACCACTATTTCAATTCTACTTGTACAAATCTTCAGCATTTTTTTTACTTTGTCAGAAAGGTAAGAGGGCCCTGAAGTCCCAAAAATTGAAAACTTTTAGATTGTGTTTTTACTTTCTTGTTTGTTTTTTTACCTTTTGGGACTTCAGGGCAGGGGTGTGGCCAAACTTTTTTGACTTGGCTGGCCAAACTGTGGCACTGACTTATGCAAGGGTGGCCTGAAATGTGATGTGTACACAAACACACACAAACAAATATAAATGATTTACCCTTACTTTCTAACCTCATCAATTATAACTTCTTCAATTAATGTTTTAATGACACACAAAGAAGATTTACGTCAAAGTCAGAATATAAATTATTTAAGAATTTGCAGGCAAACTCGTGCACAGACTAACTTACAAAAATAAATTAATTGGCAACGTTTTGGTCCCAACACCTTGGCAGTTTGTTCAATGCATGTAAGACGGAGTGCATTACTTTCCTATATACCTGTCTTATGAAATAGACATCGATATGTAAAGAAAATACTAACAGTCTTTCCAAAAAAATGCAAAATAGTGGGTTTTAGTCCCGCCTCTGACAGGCCAAATAGCCAATCACAGTTTATGATATTTGGGGGGCCCATCTGGACACGCCCCTGCTTCAGAGGCTCCGTAGAAAGGTGATCATTCTACTTTCTGTTTATTATTGTAGTCGTAGAAGGTGTTGGTGGTGTTCTGGTGGAGTTCATTTAATTGAAAAAAATATATGAAATAAAAATAAAAAAACCTTCCTCCTATTTTTATTTTTTCACTTAATTCCCACAAGTGAACCATAGATGTATTATCTTTCTGATCATCTCAACAACATCTGAACTCAAAGTTGCTGTTGTCTTGAAGGGTAAGTTTGCATGCGGTAATAATAATGTTATGGCTCATCAGAGTATATTTCCTCCATTGTATCCATGAGCCATCCTGAGGTCATCGAGGACACTGGTCTGATGTTGTGTTACCCCATAGTTTCTTGTTTATACACACATCTGTTGACTGTGCTGCTGTGTGAGAAAGTAAACATGGCTCTCTGTATTTCAGACGTACACAGGCTCCATTCTGGTGGCCGTCAACCCTTACCAGCTGCTGCCCATCTACACCACCGAGCAAGTGCACATGTATACAGATCGGCGGCTGGGTGAACTGCCGCCGCACGTCTTTGCCATCGCAGACAGCTGCTTCTTCAACATGCGCCGCAACAAGAAGAACCAGTGCTGTATCATCAGGTCTGTTTATGCTCCATTTACAAAAGACTGAGGCTCATTAGATTTACTTTTAGACGGACAAACACTTGACTTGTTGATTGATTTTCAGGGATTTCTTATTTGTAGAATTGTAAACGAAAATGGACCAAAAGAGCACTCTGACCGCGCAAATCTCCAACAATTTATTGATTTCATGTTTATATGTAAAGAGACAAGTGGAGCAAGTCAACCGTTGCCACACATTACAGCATTTATAGCCTAAGCTAGTTTACAATGCCGGTCCCTAGATGGTCCTTTAAAATAAATAAACCTCAACAACAGATACACATAAAAGAACACCACACACAACAATAAACAGACAGAACATGGCTCACAGGAACAGGAACAGGATACAAACTATCAAACAAAAAATGGAGGTCAAGATCATACATAATCACAAGACTGAGTCCTCTTTAAGAACTGTTTCAGTTTGGGTTTAAAATGACTCCAGTCTGGTTCCAGTTTGAGCTCTTCAGGTATAAAGCATTTAACATGTTGATCCCCTGAACAGAAGAGCCTTACGATCCAAGTGGAACCACAAGTTCACCGAGCACCCGAGGAGCCTAATGATTTAAACATTTAGAAATGTTTAAGAGAAGCAAACGTAACCAAATGATCAAGTCCAGTCTACTTTGATAACAAGAGCAAACACTACACATGTCAAGATATTTTAATAAAAGAATCTCATCAACCTTAAAATGAGGTTTGTTACAGTGTCCTCCACTACGATGTATGAATCACCAAACTGGATTTACAATACGTTGTTATCACGATATTTCTAAGACTGTCTAATTTCTTATAACGACATGAGGTTGAAGTCAATTTATGAATACACATGATTCTTTTTTTCATCTTTTGACAATAAGAAGGCCAAATATTTTTTTCTTTAAAAATACAAGTGATACTCATTCAATATGAGATTTTACACAATACATTTCTTTCTTTATAAAAAGTGACACTGATAATGTCTTACAAAAATACATTTTTATATTGTTTTGTCTAAAATAAAAGATGGATTTTAAAACAAATACAAACATTTTTACCTTAAATAATCATTTAAAGTATCAGACTTGCAGCCTGTTTTCTTTGCATTGAAGCACAGAAAGTTTTTTAAAGACGGTGATAAAGAGCATCGCTGTTTGTTTTTGTCAAATAGTTTAAAACTTGTCATAATTGTATCGATTTTTTAATGTATTGCAGTTAACATCTTGTCTGTGTTTTATACGAAACAAGACAGTTGAATATGTTTTCATTGGCTTTTTCTCTCATGATTACTTGCATGTGTCTGTGTCAGTGGAGAGTCAGGAGCAGGGAAGACTGAGAGCACCAAACTGGTGCTGCAGTTCCTGGCTGCAGTGAGTGGGCAGCACTCCTGGATCGAGCAGCAGATTCTTGAAGCGAACCCCATCTTGGAAGGTAAGGAGAACAAAACACCAGAGACCTGTTTCAGGAATGTTTTCATAATCAGCTGAATCCATTGCTTCTCTTTATGTACTTTAATGTCATTTATGTTTTTCTTCTCAGCCTTTGGGAACGCTAAAACGGTCCGTAACGATAACTCCAGTCGATTTGGGAAGTACATTGACGTCAACTTCACCAAAGGGGGCGCCATAGAGGGGGCTCGGGTTGAGCAGTACCTGCTGGAGAAGTCCAGAGTGTGTCGCCAGGTAGGAAGACCCGGTTTCCTTTTTATATTTACAAGAGCAGGACTATAGATGTGAAATGTCCCCGTGGTAACGAGCTTGTCTTTTTCTTGTGCAGGCCCCCGAGGAGAGAAACTACCACATCTTTTATTACATGCTGATGGGAATGTCGGCCGACCAGAAAAAGATTCTTTCTCTTGGAAACGCTGCAGAGTACACCTATCTTACCATGGTACTGAAACACATCTTACATAGAATGGAAAACTCTCATTAAGAGAAATGATCGTATCACTGATGACAAGAGTTGAAGCATCATTTAGTTTTAACTCGTGTGATTGTCTCATCAGGGTAACTGCACCAGCTGTGAAGGGCGCGATGATGTGAAGGAATACGCTCACTTTCGCTCAGCTCTCAAGATCCTCATGTTCACAGAGAACGACTCCTGGGAAATCTGCAAACTGCTTGCTGCTATACTCCACCTGGGCAATGTGACATTTGAGAGTAAGGACATTAGGATACAATGGGAGGCGTATATTTAAAAATTTGTTCTGTCAAAATAAACATAATTGTGTTTTCTTGGGTGATTTCAGGCACCATAGTGAACAACCTGGAGGGCTCTGACATCTGCAAATCGTCTAATTTCGACATGGCCTGCCAGCTTATGGAGGTAGGTTTTCTTTTTATTCAATAAATGCAAATAAAAGATTCTGTCATGGCGTCTTCTGACTGCAGTTTGTCTCCTACTTCAGGTGGCTCCTAAAGAGCTGGGGAAGAGTCTGACTGAGCGCTCACTCATGACGACTCGAGAGAGTGTGACCAAACCTCTGACCTGTGAGCAGGCTCAGGACGGCAGGGACGCCTTTGTCAAAGTAATCAGTCAACACTTGTTTGAGTTTCATTTTCAAACACAAATATTAGCCTATTTAAAAACATACCCTGAAGTCGTCCTCTGTATGATGTAATGCCAGAACACACTGGAAAACAAAATCAGTGGATGAATTATTCACTTATTATTCACTTCATTTCTTACTAGTTTTACAAAAAAAAGAAACACGTTCTGTCTGTATAAGTCTTCTCAGACTGGGGTCAGCGTACTTGTTGATCTTCATCGAATAAAAGTTTTTTTTTAGTATAACTTTGGTTCACTGCTTTAAGCTTCATAATTATTCTAGATTTAACCTTAAAGGCTTTATATGCGATCATCACACTTAAATATAATATAAATCAAGTATATCCTCTGAAAATAACTCTGTGAGTCATGACTGTCTACAATGGGTGTAACACCCGAGTCCCACTGTCTGTGATGTTTTCAGAGTTTTCAGAGTCCTATCTTCAGTTTGTTTACATCGTCGGGACGGCCGGCTGACTCCTCCCCTCACGTATAAAAGTTGTTTAATTGAGGGACTAGAGAAAAGAAGAGTAACATACTGTACTCACTGCTTAACTGTGTTTCTAGATCACGATCATTTCAGGTAAATTTACATGCAGTGTGAAGATACGAGCATAATAAAGATCGCTAGCATTAGCATGCTAACACAACAATGCACCGCAAGTTGTTTTGGTTTCATGCTGGTGCTCAAGGGCGACATCTTCTGGATCAAAAAATCGCATATATAAAACCTTTAAGACAGCTAAAGTAAGACAGTCGTCCGAGAACAATGTCAGATAACGATGGACTCCTTCATCACCGCTTGTACAGTCTGTTATACAGTGAGTGTAGGTGTTAAAATGCATGACATTTAGATCACTTGTGTTGATTATTCCATGCAGTAAATGATTGTAAGTGTTAGTGAGCTGTTCTCTGTGTCGTTGTGTTCAGGCCATTTATGGAAGACTTTTCATCTGGGTTGTGGATAAAATAAACGCCGCCATTTACAAACCATCTGAGGACACCGACGTGGTCCGACAGTCAATCGGCCTGCTCGACATCTTCGGCTTTGAGAACTTCAACAAAAACAGGTAAGAGTTAACGAGAGCTGTCTGTAAATAATTCAAATAGCTTTTGTCTGTAGATAAAAGTTGTCATTGACCGTCTTCCCTCCTGTGGGGGTTTTGATTTGTTGCAGCTTTGAGCAGCTGTGCATCAACTTTGCCAACGAGCAGTTGCAGCAGTTCTTCGTGAAACACGTTTTCAAGCTGGAGCAGGACGAGTACACCCGGGAAAACATTGTTTGGAAGCACATTGACTACAAAGACAACCAAAGCACCCTGGACGTGTTGGCCAGCAAACCCATGAACATGCTGGCGCTGATTGACGAAGAGAGCAACTTCCCGAAGGTCTGTATTCTCCATTCACCTCATCAACTTCTGATCCACCAGAAGAAGCAGGTTTCAACTCTCTTCTGTTGATTCGTAGGGCACGGATACCACCATGCTACAAAAGATGAATCAGCATCATGGGAAGGGGGGCATCTATATTCCCCCCAAGAACAACTACGAGACGCAGTTTGGAGTCCAGCACTTTGCTGGAGTTGTCTACTATGATTCAACAGGTAGATTTTAAAGCTCTAAGATGTAACACATCATATTTATCCTCTGTCAGAGTGTCATGAAAGTGCATTCTCAGGACCTCTTTATGCTCTCTGTCCAAAACACTCGGACAGAAATTGCAAAAAGGGCTTTTGGGTACTCTGCACCCTCAGCCTGGAATCTGTAGCAGAATGACTTAAAGCTCAAGGAACTGGTGTCCTTAGATGTTTTTAAACCTAAAATGAAAGACATGGAAGCAGATTCTATAGGATGTCGATGTTTTAGCTCGGCTGTTTAAACAACTGATTCCCAGATATGACTCATAGATGGTTCTATTTTAATCCAAAATGTAGTGCTTTGTAAATTGTACTTTGTCTCTCTTTGTATTTCTGATTAAGCCTTTTTTGTTTTGAGGTTTCCTTGAGAAGAACCGTGATGCCCTCAGCACAGATCTGATTCAGATGGTGCAGACCTCCGCCAATAAACTCCTCAAACAGGTGTTTCAAAAAGAGCTGTCATCCAGTACGACCAAGAACAGCGTCAACCCCAGGATGGTCATCACCGCGGCGAGCAACAGCCTTCGAGTCAGTGCAACCTGTAGCTCCAGCATCAGACACAGCTTAAAAACACCTTCATTGTAGGTATGTACTCACACTTTACTTCATATTTTTTTCATGTCTGACAGCAAGCGTCGGATGGCAAGAAGCGTGTGCCGACTCTGATCGGACAGTTTCGTTTGTCTCTGGATTCCCTGATGAAGACACTGACTGTGTGCCAGCCTTATTTCATACGCTGCATCAAACCCAACGACTTCAAGAAGCCCATGGTGAGGAAAACAAACAGTGGTGACTCAACCAAAAGTATTCAAAAAGATTTAAAACCGTTTGATAGAAGTGGACCCTCTGTGTCTCAGCTGTTCGACAGAGAGCTGTGCATCCGTCAGCTGCGGTACTCTGGCATGATGGAGACCATCAGGATCAGGAAAGCTGGATATCCCGTACGCTACACCTTCCAGGAGTTTTTAGATCGCTACCGCGTCCTTCTGAAAACCTCCCTCTGTGATCCTAAAACAGTAAGTGGGAGGTTCAGATGTGATCATTTTGTTGCTGATAGCCTTCCTTCTCATCTGCTCCTGCTGTATTTAACGTTTTAATGTTTCTTTTGCTCTTACAGGAAAGCCAAGAGAAATGCTGTGAAAGCATTTGTGAAACTGTGCTGGATGGAGAGGGAGACTGGAAGACGGGAAAGACCAAGATTTTCCTCAAGGTGCTGCTTTACATTTTGATGGATTGTTCTCTTCAGCATAATAAGCAGAATCATTTCAACTTTATAAGCAATGAACACCTAATTAATCAGGATATTAAAACACTTCCAGAATAGTAATGTTAAAGGAAGATTGTGCAACATTTTGTTCATAAATACAGCAGAAATCAAGTTTATCCTCTGTGAGAGTCATCACTGTCTACAATGAGTGAGAAGCTTGAGTCCCGCTGGCAGTGTTGTTGTCGGAGCCTTGTTTACATCACGCTTACATGGACAGGGCAGCCGACTCCTCCCCTTGTGTTTAAAGCTGTTTTAGTCAAGAACAACATAAAAAAAGAATATCATACTCACTTTAATTTGGATGTCATGGAAGCGTTTTCTAGATCAAGGTCATTCTGTGTCAATTTATATGCAATGTGATTGATTGGCTTGATTGGTGAACGTTCCCTCGAGGTATTTGAACACTTCATTGTTTTCTCTCAGGACTCCCACGACACCATGCTTGAAGTGGAGCGAATGAAAGAATTAAATACGAAAGCACTTCTGATCCAGAAAGTCCTGAGAGGCTACAAATACAGGTATGTGACAAAAAGCTACAAGATGAAACGTTTTTTTTTTTTTGCTGCTGTAACAGTCAACTTTAATATCTTTATGGTTCATTCCCTCTAAAGGAGACAATACCTGCGGCAGAAGGCCGGTGCTCTCGTCATTCAGAAATACTGGAGAGGACACAAAGGCAGGAAGCTGTACAGAGTGGTGAGTCACACTTAGCTATAAAGCGTTGTGAAAATGTAAGCCTATAACATCGAATAAACTCATGGATTATGTTACGATACCAGGTCCAGCTGGGCTTTGCGAGACTGCAGGCTCAGGTTCGCTCTCGTCAGCTTCACTACCAGTATAAGAGGAAGCGTGAGGCAGCCATGGTGCTGCAGACTCAAATCAGAGGACACCTCGCCAGGAAGGAGTGGAAGCGCAAGAGAGACGCTGTGATCCTGCTGCAGGCTTACACCAGGGGTGGGCTGGCAAGAAAGGCTCTCAAGAAGATGAAGCGAGACGTAAGTTCAACTTATGTTGTAAAGAAATAACACTTTAATTATTTTTTTTATGTATTTGTGACCATTGTAAAAAAAAAGTTTAAAGTCTGCTTAGTGTGCTGGTTTGAACAGGTAGAGCAGTGGTTCTGAACATTTCATCATGAAATTAACATAATTTAACACTACCCTTCATGCTCCACATTAAGCCTTTGAGCTGCCTCTCTCATACCTTCAACTTTTAAACTGTTGCTTTTATTGTGGCGGCTCAGATTGAAGAATGACTCACAGAGACTAAGTGGGCCTGTTACTGTGACTCATTCATATCACAAATACATTTTGTAAATTTTGAGTTTTTCTATTTTTTTATTTCTATTGTTTATATTTTTAATTGCCTCTTTACTTTTTCTGCTTTAGTCCTTTGCACCGAAAAAACAAGTCAAATTCCTCGTATGTGTGAATGTACTTGGCAATTAAAAAATCTGATTCTGATTCTGAAAATCACTATATCATTGTGTAGATTCCTTCATCAAAACATCACTCATATTTGTATCTGTTATTTGAGATCCACAGTTTTTCTACGTATCACTGTAGTACAGGATTATGTGTCAGAAGTCCCTGCTTCAAAGTCTTCTCCCAAAGGGTCTTTGAGCATGGCACTAAATCACAGCCTGCTCTAATGCCACCACACTCTAATCAGCAGCTGAAAACACCATCATGTTCAGAATTATACAGTTAAGGTGTGTTCATTTGATTGTTATTCCTCTTTGCTATGTCTGCAAATGAGTACAGATGTGTTTATTGTGTTTGGGTCAGGCCTACCTGCTTAGAAGTAAAAAGAAAATAAAAAACAAAAATAAAATGTCCTGATCTCTTTTTATGTTGTGTTCTTTCAGTGTTACCTCTCCGCTAAAGACAAAGAAGCAGAAGAGAGGGCCTTGATGGAGAAACAGAAAAACTTGGAGGAAGTGCTGAGGCAGAAGAAAGAGAAAGAGACCACAGCTCAGACTGAGAGCATCACAGACCAGGAGATGGTGGAGCGCATGTTTGAATTCCTGCCCAGGATAGTCGGAGGGCAGGAGGGGCAAGCACCCGTGGGATACGAGGTTCGGGGAACTAAAATGTTTGCAAATTTTGTATTCATTTTAAAAAAACATTTTGAATCATTCACTGACTGTTTGAATCTGTTTTCAGAAATTTGAGGGGATGATCACAGAGGAGATAGACATCGACGATTTCCCAATCGAGGAAAATCTTCCCAAAGAAGACTACGATGATCTGGATGAATACTCCTTCTCTAAATTCGCCTCCATGTACTTCCAGGGTGCGGCCACCCCCACCCACATCCGTCAGAGACTCAGGCAGCCTCTGCTTTACCACGAAGATGAAGGAGATGTTCTGGTACTTCTCTCTGACTTCCTTTATTCATAATTCAAACTTTCCTGATACACTGCAAAACTCAGATATTAGTGTGTATGTCTAACTTCTTGTCCAAAATATATTGACTTTATCTACACTCTATACAAGCTACATCCACCTGACAAATCCAGAGAAACATCTTATTTCAATGTTTACTTGCTAAGTGTTTTGAGAGTGCACATTAAGTAACATAAACATGTAAATATGCCAGATTGTTAGCCATAGGCTAATTTCTATTTGTAGTCCCTTGGCAGGTTGGTGGTTCACACATATACAAATTTACATAAAACCACAATGACAAGCAAAAACCAAACAACAACATAAAGAGACAGAAATTTACACGCTTAGTAATGGCTGTGTGATGTTGTTCAAAACAAACCAGAATAAAGTCACCTTCAGAGTTTACGTGCTAAAAGTTTCTACTACGGGAGGTAAAGTACTGCAGTATTAAAGTGCTGGAGTATTGATTATGAAGTTCTGATATAAATTGCACATTTCCCCCTGAGGCTGTAACTTTAAAGTGCTGGTGTGATTGCACATAGCCCTGTTGCACAGAGTTTGTATACAGACATGTATGCACATACTCTTACTCTTGCACAGGGTTGGCTACATCGATGTATGCATGTTGGTAGATCTAATTTTAAGACATTGGCAGATATTCTTTCCCCTTTACAAACAATTAGGGCCTTATTTTTCACTTTTTATATCTTGAAGTAAGATGTCTATCTGGACTTCCCAGGTGAATATGGCTTATAAAAATTCTAATGAAGGACTAAAAAGTTAGACACTAGCTAAGATTTGAGATTTTGCAGTACACTTGGAACGTTTTGGTTTATCTCATTAACTCATCACTCATTTTTCTGTTATTTTATCCGCAGGCTTCTCTGACAGTGTGGTGGATCATCCTGAGGTTCATGGGAGACCTCCCTGAGCCTAAGAAGCAGGTTAAAGCCCCAGGAGCCCCAGCTCAGGAACGGTTTCTGCCGCAAGACCTGATCTCCAGAAAAGACAGACGCCTCAGCCACATGGTCGGCCTAGATCAGGTAATCATAAAGCACGCTGTTAAATAAATCTACATTTGCACATCAGAGGGATTTATTTTTTAAAGTGGGGTTGTAGGAGGTACTTGCCAATAGTTTAAGTGCAGGTCAGCTCAGCCCATTAATAACAAACCGGTGAGAGAACTAGCACAGACGATATTTAGCTGCACACATGACCGGTTTTAACACACATTTTTTAGTAATTTTAACAAAAGAAACAACGTCTGTGTTAGTGAACGCTATAGTTAGACATCAGTTAGCTCATCAGCAAGCTTTTTTTGCACTATACATGTTCCTCCACCTGTACTGCACTGATGAAGCTGTGGTGATTTATCGCCTCTACTTTCTGTGCCGTTACTCAAAGTGGTTTCTCAATAAAGGGGCCGAGCTGACCGGCATGTCCTGTGGCCATAACACTTACTGTTAACAAGTACCCTCATACAAACCCACTTGAAATCGTTATCACAGTATTTTACATTTTAACATATCATCTGTGATGGTTTCAGAGGGTGCTAAGGAATAAAAAAGAGAGAAAGCCCTCCACTGTACCCGAGGAGCCAGCACCGATGAAGAGGGGCTCCATTTTCACCGACCTTCTGACAAGAAGCAGGAAGCCATCTGCCGTGCCAGGTGAGACAGCTCAAAACTCGAAGGTGTACACAGTGCCAGAGGGAAGCCCTCGAGCGAGGAAGGGATCCACATTTACCGACCTGCTGTCCAGGAACAGAAAAGCCTCCACTGTTCCAGAAAACACAATCCCAAAATCTGCTTCAGGCCTCAGAAAACCCTCGATCATCATGGAAGAGGTGAGCTGTGAGCCTGGAACTATTTTCACTTTGTGTTGCTGTGAAGTGTCATCTTTATGGATACGTCATGTTTCTTTAGTCTGATGACCTGACTGAGGAGTCCAAGCCTCCCACCCTGCAGACCGTGCAGGAGGACAGTGACGCCATGGTCGATGAAGGACCGACTCTGGAGCGGCCGCTGACGTCTTTGGAAAAACTTCACATCATCGTGGGATATGCTATTGTCCGACATGACCTCAGGTAACTGAAGATCTAAACATGCATCCAAGCATCTTTTCTAAAAATGTTACTCAAACAATATTTGTCTTTTTTCCGTCCAGGGATGAGATTTACTGTCAGATCTGCAAACAGCTTCAGGAGAACAACAACCGAAACAGCTACTTCCGTGGCTGGATCCTGCTGTCTCTGTGTCTGGGCATTTTCCCTCCAAGTGAGCGCTTTACAAGAGTGAGTACAGCACTTTTACCAGCCGCGTCAGACTCATAGATCAGCGTGCCACGTGGTGTAATGTTTTGTTCATCTTAACTTTGAGTTCTTGTTTCCTCAGTACCTGCAAAGCTTCATCCGTTTCGCTCCTGGAGATTATGCATCCTACTGTGCAGAGAGGCTGAGACGCACCACGATGAACGGAATGAGAGGAGAGCCTCCGTCCTGGCTGGAGCTGCAGGTAAGAAGAGTGATACATTATGTCTTCTGACCACATGGAAATCAATATTTTTTACAATGCAACTCCCATGTGCAGTATGGGTACATTTCTCTCTGTTCTAAAATAGATACTAAAACTCTTACTTTTTTTATATATGTATTCAGTTTTGTGTTGTAAAAAAATAATACATGTGAAAAAAATTATGGTTCTTCAGCTTGTCTGCGTAGGCTGTCAGTCATCCAGGTCATGGTAAATACAAAGCTTGATCCAAAGGCAGCTGGACTGGTTGAAGATCCTGAAGATGTTTCACCTCCTCCGGTTCATCTACTTCAAATAAAAAAAAGATAAACATACAAAAGAGATCCTTTAATAAATAGACTTTAACTGTATTCAGATATTAAAGTTAATGCTTGTTGATTAGAGTTTTTATTTGGAAAACAAATATGTGACTGATTTAGTAACTGTTACTTTGTCTCTACTGTGAGCAACACAAACTAAATCCTGACCTCTGTAGAGAACAGAGAGGGCAGCAGAAGTCCTACAGAAATGTATGTTTTTAAGCTTTGTTGGAATTAACCCTCCCAGCTGTCTGTGAGGCTCACTACAACCAGCTGTGGGTGAAAATATTTTTTTCTTTGTGTAATCTGAGTGAACATGCCCACACCTAGTATCTTTCATCACTGTTAAATGAACGGGCTATTCTCTGTTGTTCTGTGTCAGGCAACCAAGACAAAGAAGCCGATGATCGTGACGGTGAAGCTGATGGACAATCGCTCCGTGAACCTGCCCGTTGACTCGGCTTCTACCTCCAGAGAGATCTGCCAAGCTCTCTCGAACAAGATCAAACTCAAGGACACCTTTGGCTTTTCTCTCTATGTGGCCTTGTATGAAAAGGTATTCAATTCTCTGCTTTGCACCATGAATCTTTAAACAAAATGCCCAGGCTGATATTTACTTCAGTCTATGAAATCAACCTGCCTTTTGTTTGGGACGTCCATCACAGGCATTTTCAAACAGAAGTCGTGCACAGCAAAGATGGGAAAGTCAATTTACACCAGCAAATATATTTAACTTGATCTTGCTTTGTAAGACAGCTCATCTCTGCTCACCTGCTGCACTGTGGTAGACTAACAAGTGCTGTGCTGCCCCATCGAGCTGTGTAGACTTCTTAGTTATTCTATCAGTTTTTTGCACAAGGGAGATTTTCATAACTTGAACATTGATTTATTTCCATCTCCAAAGCGAGCACAAGCAGCAGAGTGGTCCCTGTCTCTCCTGTCACACACTAAAGTTTACATTTCTTTCTGTCACAGTTTGTCAAAAACAAAGAGGAGGACCCAAAAGAATTTATTTCACACAAAAAAGGCAAGCAAAGGATTAGCAAAGAAATGTCCAGGTATCAATCAAGATACAAACAAAAATCCAACTGGGAAACAAGGAGAAGTTTTAGGGATGACACATGACAAACTGACAACAAGAGGGAAGGAACACTGAGGCTGTGTCCAAATCACTCCTCCTTCACAGTATAGTGCACTATATATAACTCACTGGGTGCATCCAAACTGCAAAGTGCCTACACAATTTAGTAGTCATTAGACAGTAGACTGTACCTACTGTCCGTGCTGTACACTTTTAGTATCTGCTGTTCAGTATGCACACACAGTAGGCAGATATTTGTTCCTACTTAGTCTGATTTATTCAGTGTGGAAGTGGCACCATTTGCGTTACCCGAACCGGCCGCATCCATCCTCTTTTGTTTTTTTTGTTTAGCTTTGTTCAAGAAGAGTAATGCACATTAAAAAGATAAAACAGGAAACACTAAAGACTAATAGGAAACATTAAAATAAAGAAACACACAAGGGAAACAAACAACTCCAGGGAAGAATGAGACAAACTAAAACAAGAAAGAAAATCTCAACTCTGAAATAAACAAAACACAAAACTAAACCAGAAACTCCTGCAGAAGAGTTTTTAGAGGCCGTGCTCACATTCTGTGGATGACCTTTAACCTTCTCTCTCTCACCCTCAAGCACACTCACATTATTCTGTCTTTGTTGGACAGATGTTGAAGTTCATTTTTATTTGTGTCTTGTTGCTCTCATCTTATTTTTGGTCTGTAAACTATTTCAACACTGAATGCACAGGGGCCTCTAACTGAGAGCTGCCTTTATTAGTCAAAAGGTGCAGCAACACAGGCTAGTAAAAGGGACTTTCAATTGGGATGAACTTGTTTTTGAAGTCTTAGGGTATTGAATAGTGGATCTTCTTTTGTATTATTGATGCTCTGTGGTTTATAAAAGACAGATTCCAAATTCTCACTGAGGAAGTTGAATACAAAACATCCCACCAATGCAAGAATCATGTTCTGTGAAAAAAGGGGAAAGAAAAAATGTCCTTTGTGTCAGGATGTTATAAAATCTTTTACCAGAATCCTGCACACATCTAATGTTCAAACAACCACACCCGGTCTGCCCCCACAAAGCCAAATACATGAAGAGTAAGAATAAAAAGGGTTAACAAAGAGAGAAACATGCAGATTACTCAGGCAAAAAGATTGAACAGAATTTATTTTTGCTTCACACACACAATTTAGACAAAGATGTCAAGCTTATTACTTATTTTCCTTTTAGTTTAAAAACTGCTTAAGCACTTAAAGATGAACAAGTACTCACAGTTAATAAAAACAAATATAATATGCAGATTTATTGGCAGAATCAATGAGTTTAAGTGGATTTATTGATCTGTATCTATTAGGAGTTTGGAGAACTTGACAGCCTGTAAGCTGCAGACTGTTCACTGTTTGTGCCACTCATCACCTGCCAACAGCTAAATAAATGATTTAGAAAAATTCTTAAAGATACTTATACTTAAAAATAATCCGCTTCAATTGTGAGTTCTCGTTAATCTAAGGTTGTGCAGTTTTCAGTGGGTCAAAGCCATACATAGTTTCTCATTTTAAATACTTCTTTTTAAAAACAAGATTCCAAAAAGTGTCCTTTCTCCTGCTTTATTGGTTTTAGTATCAATAACTTCAGATGTTGTTTTATCCTGCAGGTGTGGGCTCTGGGCAGCGGCCGGGAGCACGTGATGGACGCCATCTCTCAGTGCGAGCAGGAGGTGAAGAGGAGAGGAGGGCAGGAGCAGCACGCTCCCTGGCGTCTCTTCTTCCGTAAGGAGATCTTCACTCCATGGCATGACTGCAAAGAAGACAAATTCAGCACAGACCTCATCTACCAACAAATCATTCACGGCCTGAAGTTTGGGGAGTACCAGAGTGAAAAGGTGGGCTTATATGTATATGTTTATCTGACATTACTCCTGCTGGTTTATCTGATTTATATTTTACATTTCCCCTCTCATATTTCACCTCCACAGGAGGATGACCTTGCCCAGCTGGCTGCCAAACATTTATATGTCCAGCACGGCTCAGACAGCAGTCCAGAACATGTGAAGGAAACGGTTCAGGACTGCATCAACAACTCTCTGCTGGAGGCAAAGTCAGAGGCCAAGTGGGTGCAGATGGTCAGCACCGCTCATGCTCAGGTCAGTCACATAAAACTCAAATAAATCAAATCTATAATGATCTTCAGTTGGTTAAATACTTACCTCAGCTTTTTTTTTAAATCACACCAGGGTTCATATTTGAGCTCAAGTCAAAAGACCGATTCAGTGAAGGCGGAGACGGTGGACTACGCCCGAGAGAAGTGGCCCATGTTCTTCTCAAGGTTCTTTGAAGTTGTCAAACTGTCAGGTAAGGATCTGTCAGCAGCTAATGTTTCCAGTCTCTCTGATTTGTTTTGTTAAGTTAAAATAATCTATTCTTCAAGAAATTGCAATTATTTGCAATTTCATGAATCCATATGCCTGGCATAGATTTATGACAGTGTTAAGATGATATACAAGCTGTTATCACTCAACAAATAAGGAATAAAAACCTTAAAATTTTTGTTGTTTTTGGCATGTCCATCCTCTCCGTCTTTTGCCTGCTGCACTTTTCAGAAAATGTGTGTTTGTGTGAGATTTTCCCTTCATGACATCACAAAGGGCAGTAACCCCTCCCCCAGGTGGGTGACACTCCCACAGCTAGGTGTTTGTTCTGCCCTCTGAGTCTGTAAATAACAGGGAATGGTGTGAAAAAGTCAGAGACACTTGAGCCCTTCTTGAGGGGCGTGGTCAGACACAGCTCATTTGCATTTAAAGCTACAGACACAGAAACAGCCTCTTCTGAGCAGGGCTGAAACAGAGGGGTTTATAGGCATGATCAAATACAGGATCAGAGTGGATTTAGAACAAGAAACTTTTGTTTTTGTTTAGGGGATCTCTGATATGTGCCCTTTAATTTCTTCATGTTATGACATTCCACTGAGTTGTGGTTTTCACAGAGCAAGTTGACTCTTAATGTTATTATGTTTACACTTGTGTAATACATGATCCTTAACCATTAGTCCATCCATCATATAGTCGGTTGTTCATCTTTTCATTGCATGCCAGTGAATTTATAGCCTCGGCTCTGGTGATGGTCGTGGCTGGAGGCGTTATTTTCATCCGTAACATTCGTGTGAACGCGATATCTCGGGCACGCCTTGAAGGAAAATTTGGCACAAACGTCCTCTTGTTCTCAAAAATGAACCGATGAGTTTTTATGGCCAGAGGTCAAAAGTCACTTTCAGTGTGTGGTATCTAAGCAATGCCTGGAGGGAATAAAATAAAATTGAAATAAATGTACAATCCCTGCTTTAATCGAGTAAATATGTGATTAATTCATTAGAAGGAGGAGGGTAAGAGAGAGAGATTTCTATGTCTGCACACATTCATGCTGCAATCAATGTTTTGTTTCCTTGTAAAAGTGGCTGAGGAACGTCTCATAAAAAGTAGAAGCAACTCTTTATCCTCGGCAGGAATATAGGTCATTATTGCCGTCTTATCTTCCCTGACTCATGATTAATTGCTTCTTGTTCCCGTCATTGGTGTTTGTTTTAGGGCCTGCACTGCCAAAGAACAAATTCATTGTGGCCATAAACTGGACGGGCATCACTTTCCTGGATGAGAGAGAGAAGAGGCTGCTGGAGCTCTCCTTCCCCGAGGTCACCGGAGTCAACACCATCAGGTAGAGACTGAACCAGAGGAGGAGGAAGTGTTAGTGTGTGTGAGTTTAAAGAGGTAAAGTCCAGATTTAGAAAACAATGTGCCATTACTGGATTCGGCTTTAATGCCCACACAGGGAGGGTAAAGCATCTGGACAGGCGGTGAATCTGCTGACCCTGAAAGGAGACTTCACTCTGAGTGGGACTGCAGCCGGAGACATGGCGGAGCTGATAACGATGTTCCTCAGCGGACTGATGGAGAGATCTCAGTACGCTGTGACTTTGAAGGAAGCCTCACAAGGTCAGAGGACCTTTGTTTTTTCTTCTTATGTTTTTTAACAGCTAGAATATCTCTTTTGAAGTCACTTCTTCTGACTCTTTTCTGAACTTTCTTTCATTCCTTTGCAGATGACCCTGCATTGCTCAGCTTCAAGAAAGGAGTGCTCATTATAATTATCAAAGACGATGAGTTTCCTTTGCAGCGCGGCTGGATTAAGGGCCAAAATGACAGCACAAAAAAAACAGGAGCCGTCCCCGCTGATGATATCTTAATCCTCCCCACACTCAGCAAACCCACAAACGAGGTCATGGTAGGTAGACATCTAAAACAACTCTTAGAAGCTCTATTCTTTCAAGATTGTTTGGAGTATTAAAAGTGTTTTCTTTCTTTCAGAGCCTCCTCAACTTATCCCCTAACCAGAGGAAGAACATCATACAGGCAAACCAGAAGGAAACAGGAACCATGGAGAGATTGGCTCCGTTCACGCTGAAGGAATTCTCCCTTGAATACTTCAGGTGTTACAAAGTTCACAAGCTGATTATCAGGAAAATGATTACTGGAACAGCAAAAGAAATATCTGTCTTGTGTCATTAATCCAACAGGCAGCTCACAAAGGACGTGAACCGTCAGGTGATTTCCAGAAACGCTGCTCCTGAGAAGCTGTGGGCGAACTCCAGAGAGCCAATCAGACAGCCCCTCCTCAAGAAACTGGTGGGAAACCCCGAGCTCAGCCACAAAGCCTGTCTGGCCTTCACTGATATCCTCTGCTCACCAGATTTATTTAAAACAAAAATGGCATTTATTATTATGTGTTCATACCAGTATATATTTTGGCTTCTTTTTAGAGTCCTCCTGTGATATGTATCATAACTTGGTAAAGCAATAATTGTGGATGTGTGGAGCCGCTGACAGCCCCGAAATAATTTAAGAAGATACTTTTTTAATCCCTGAGGGAAAATTCAGTTTTTGACTTCGTTATTGCACATGCTACTCCCACACATAGGCCAGGAATACACAAACAGGATCCTATGGACATGCACTAATGGAGAGATGTCAGAGTGAGGGGCTGCACACAAAAGGGCGCCCCCAGCATTTGGGCTCAGAAAGTGAACTGGCTCCTCTCCAGCAGGCAGACCAATTTCCATACTATTGGTCCGTAGCAGGACTTCAACCGGTGATCCTGTGACCCCCTACTCACTGAGCTGCTCCCACCTTCATATTACCCCTGATTCTATTTTTAATATTAGTGTCAAAGAAATGTTTAAACTCAACACAAATCAGATAATGTTAACTGAGAAAAATCCAGTAATAATTATAATATATGTTATTTACTTCTAAACTAACCGACTTGTCCTTGCTACCAGTGGTGTCGCCCCCTGGTGGACATTAAAGAAAAATGTAGGCTTAAGGGACTTCTGTAAAGGCTTCACTTTTAATGTTGAGAGGCAAAGTCAACTTCTGTCTTCAGAATCACCTTCTGACATCACCTACTCTTTTTACTTTATTAAATGTTGACTTTGAGAAGGTGTACTCGTCCTTAACGTTTGCGTACCGATCCTGAAATATATGGGAGATTATCCCACCAAGCAGATGCAGAGTCCACTGGAGCTCACAGACCAGATCTTTGGCCCTGCCACCAAACACGAGGTGCTTAGGGATGAGATCTACTGCCAGATCATGAAGCAGATGACCATCAACAACAACAGGTACGCTTCTCCTATTTCACTTTACTGCTTCACTAAATCTGATAAAAATGTGCTTGATGAAAAATCTTGAAAAGAATTGTATGAAAAGGGAAATAGTATTTGTCAAGTCCTGCTCGGTACTTGTGATTTAAGTCAATTCAATGTCATTTTCTTCTTTGCTTTAATAACAATTCTTAATGACATTGTGAACTTTCAAATTAAGTTCACAATGGTCAACATGAACTAGTTGCTTAATAGCATGCTAATTAGTAGCATACTGTCTGTTTATTAGTCATTAAGCACTTTTTCAAGTCCTTCTGGTGTTTCATAAAAACATAAAAGTGACTTCTATGTATTGTGTGAACAGAGAGAGAGAAGAGGAGGTTATACCAAATTGCACAAATACATTGGGAACTTTTCAGTATCAAAACATTTTCATTGTGTTTATGCAATTGAAACAGTGTGCAGGAGTTTGGTTATTAAAAACAGGAAATTACCTTGCGCTTAAATTGGTTGCCATGGTATTGAAACAGGAAAGTGTTTGATTTGTAATGCTATCGTATGTTGCATTGTTTGTTATTGTACAAAGGGAAAGTGTTCAAAGTATAGGTCCATTATTCATCTATTTGATTTAAATGTGTTTCTGAGCTGTACATCCTCTTAACTTGACAGCATGGGCTTTAAATGACTTTTAAACATGTCGACTTGTAATCAGGGACACCAGGAGGTCTCTCATTTTTTCTTTTAAATCATGAATTGGCAGCGATGGTCGTTGTTAAATTTAGTCTAAATAATTTTTTTTTAAAAGGAACTCAGAATGAAATCCAAATGAAGAACCTGACTGACTGGTGGAGTGAAGTCAAAAGAAATGTGATCTCCTTGTTGACTTCTCTTTTATTAAAGAGTACGAAGAGTAAAAAGTGAAACCCTAAAGAGAAAGGAAATGCTTCATAGTGTCTTACATGTATTTGTCTCCACCTCAGGTTCAGCATAGAGCAGGGCTGGCAGCTGATGTGGCTCTGCTGCGGCCTGTTTCCTCCCACCCAGTCTCTTCTGAAACACACTCAGCGATTTCTGGAGTCCCGTCGCAGAGAGCCCCTCGCCTCCGACTGTCTGCAGCGCCTGCAGAGCTCACTGAGGTTAACCCAATTCTGTTTTATACGTAACACAAACACACTGTGTGTTTCCCCACATGTAGAAGAAAGGTGTAAGAAAGGTGTATGAGATGAGAGAGGTGTCACAGCATCATTTATAAAGCAGCTCACTTTGGTGATGTAATTGTTTAGAAATCTTTCAATATGTTTAACATATTGTGGGATTTGTGTGACTTGCTTCAGTAAAATGCAGTAGCTGCTATGAAACAGGCTCGAACGGGTGCAAAGTGATTCTTGAGGATTGTGCATAATCAGAGTATGTGCTTGTTTTTGTGTTTTTGGCTTGATTGTTGTTCCAACTGTCTGACAAAATCATGGCAAAGATCCAGTAATAGCATTACATTACCCTCCTCAAAGCCCCCAGACTCCTTGTAGAAAAACATTAATGTTTCCTCAGAAAACATCAGAGTTTCTGGTCCATCGTTTCTTATTATTGCTCATTTATTAAAATGATTTATTAAAGACGCCTACATCACATCAAGGCGAACACTGAGAGACACAGAGAGATGAGATTCTTCCCTCGGGCTGCCAGGGCTGTGAACTCTGCCCTTCTCTGGTCAAAATATAGCACTTCATCAACATAATTGGAACTGTGACTGTGACGTACATGATGCACTCACCACACATTCACACTCTGCACATTGCACTTTGACACTTTAGACACTTAACACGCGGACACTTCTCACTGCACCCTCTACATCCTTTACATCTTCTACATTTTATATCTTTATATCTTGTCCAAATAATCAGAGATTGTCGATGACATTAACTAGAACTTTTATAGGCGCACCTGCTTCCAAGGATTTCACCATAACCGGATACACATCTGCAAACCTTTAGGTAACTTGTAGTCCTAAAATACAATTCATAAAAGACCTCATTACCCATTAAGCCTGACCTTGCAGCACTGCTAACAACGATGTCTTTATACAACACAATTGCATTTGCACGGCCTCCTCTATAAATATCCTGTGCTCACATTCAGTGTTATAAAGTCAGTGACAAAAGGATCTTTTTTCATCTTCACAGTTTGTCGATGTTGTTGTATTCTGGTTTGCAATTTTAGTAACAGGGTGTGAGCTCTTCTTGTGACTGAATTGACTCTGTGACTTCTGTTTAAACATGACTTTTAAGAAAAATACCATGTCACTTAGCATCTGCTGTGCTTGTGTAGGCTGGAGCCCAGGAAGCTGCCACCTCATCAGGTCGAGGTCGATGCCATCCAACAGAACAGCACGCAGATCTTCCACAAAATCCACTTTCCTAACGACACAGAAGAGGTACGAAATGAACAAACATGTATATGTGAACTTGCAGAATATTCCCAGGTCAAATATCTTCTCCGTTAAAACCAGTGATGCTGTGATTCCTCGTTTCCATTTTCAGATATTTGAGGTGGCGACAAGCACCAGGATTAGGGATCTCATCCAGAACATCAGCAAACAGCTCAAGCTGGCCTCAGCAGACGGATTCAGCATTTTTGTCAAAACACATGACAAGGTTTGTTTGACATTTATCTGCCTTGATTATGAACCAGAGCTCCTCCTCCTGCAGCCATCGTACATCTTAAACTGCAACACATTTGGGGCGCTGGTGGCGCAGTGGTTAGTGCGTGCGTGCCATGTATGGAAGCTCCTCTTCCAAGCAGGCAGCCCAGGTTCAAATCCAACTTGTGGCTCCTTTCCCGCATGTCATTCCCCACTCTCTGTCTCCCTGATTTCCGACTCTGTCCACTGTCCTAGCTCTCAAAATAAAAAAGGCACCAAAAAAAGCCCCCAAAAAAACTGCAGCACATTTTACTCAAGGCACATTTTTAAAAATATCTTTACCCTTTTCCTCGATCGTCCTGTTCCTTTAAACTTTTATTTTTAAATACACTTTCAGGCATTTTCAATTTTAATAAATCTTTGTTTTCATTTCTCATTGTAAAGAATAGACACCTTATACACCACAACAACAACAACAACCATAAAACAATACACACACAAGAAAGAAGAAAAGAAAAAAAAGACAATTTTCCCACACGACAAACAAAGAAGCGCCACCTCAGTATTTTCACTTCTCCTCCACTTAAAGTAGAAACCACTTTAACACATGCATCACTCTTGTCAGTTTTACCAACATTTTCTGTTTGGCATGTGTGAAAGCAAACCACCCTCACCTAAAACCACATCGAGTTTATTGAGTTCTAAGAGCTTATCTGAAACAGATCATCTCCTGCTAGTAATAAAATAGAACTAGAAATATTTACACTATGTAAACTTTCACTTGTGTAAAGACAGAAGAGTTCTTGTTAAAAACAAACACAATGTGTAGCGTACTGATTACTCTGCTCACCAAGTCTGCAGCCCCACACAGAGAGACAGCAGCAGTCAAGAGTGCAAGGCAGAGTGGCCGTCACACAGTGTTGTTATTCTGAGATAATAATAAACAAGTCACGCTAAAGGGAACATTACTTGTTATTACAGGAAAATGGAGTAAAATATAGATGGATGCATGGCTTCCACAGAAAAGAGAAAAGAGCTTATGTTGATTAATTATGTTGATTATTAAAAACACACACATTCACACGTTACATTTCCACTCCACTATAAAGTCTGTCAATGTGTTGATTTCAGGTTCTCAGTTTGAACGACACAGACTACTTCTTCGATAGTCTGAGGCAGATCACAGACTGGTCTAAGAAAGCCAAGAGGATCAAAGACGGTAAAAACATGATCTACCTGAAGTGCTACTCTTTCTTTAGATGTGTCTCTGTGTTTCATTAAAAATAACCTGTTTGATCTGTGTGTGTCTTTTTGTGTTTGCAGGTGGACCTGTGAACGTACCGTACCTTGTGTTCTTCATGAGGAAGTTGTGGTTCAATGTGGTCCCCGGCAGAGACAGTGAGGCCGATCTTATCTTCCATTTCCCTCAGGTGAATTTGAATCTGCCAACGTCACATTTTCCATGCCAACAAGAGTTTTCAGATCGTGTGAAAGCCAGATCTTTCCATTAAGTACAGTGTAGTTTGTCAAATAGATGAAATAATATGACCTCCATTCTGATGCTTCTAGTTTCATTATGAGCAAAAGGACTGTTTCAGCTTCAGAGTGTTTCCTTCTACTGAACGGTTTGGGTTTGGGTTGTTTATGGTGAGTTTAAAAAAAACTTGTTATAATATCTTATTATCTCCCAGGAGGTGCCAAAGTACCTGAGAGGATATCACGTTTGCACCAAAGAGGAAATGGTCAACATTGCTGCTCTGCTCTTCAGAATTAAAGTAAACAATGACAAAACCCAGTTTGTCCAGATTCCCAAGCTGCTGAAAGAGCTGGTGCCTCTAGACCAGCTGAAGGCCATGTCTGAGAACGAGTGGAAGAAGGTATCAGGTTCTTTTTTACCTTTATTTCCTTTATGTATCTGGTTTATTGATTGCCTGTCTGACAAATACTATACATCCTACTGAAGTCTACACAGCCATGTAGGTCGATGATTGATTGATGATACTTTATTGTAAGACAAAGTCTGAAATCTGTCTTACAGCACAGCAGCTCCATACACAACATACAATAAATGCCAAAATGCAAAGATGCACACATTTGACACAGCATTTAAAACATCAATTCAGGCTTCAAGACCCTTCAGTGTACTTTTGTTCTGGGATTAAGCTCCATATTTACTTCAAGGATTGATGGTGTACAAAAGAGTGATTTAGTCTGACCTTAAGTCAAAGGTCAAAGGCATCTTTATTGTCCCCACATGGAAATTTGTTTGCAGCTGGAGATATACATAAACAATACTAATAAATAATCCAAACATCAAGTGCATAAGTACATAGAACATGAAACATGAAGCCCAGCAGAGATGCTCCATCTTCCAGATAAAAATGATAAAAGTGAAAGTGTAGAGTGCAATGGTAAATGGCAAATTAAAATTCAACTGCTATTTACAATGTGGAGCTCCTGCTGTTTATCTACACGCCGTGCTTCTGCAACGCTGTAATGCAATGTGAATTCTCAGACTGGGACACCAACATTAGGCTATTGTGGAATCAATATGAAAGTCCAAATACCTAATGAAGGAGGAACTTCATTAAGCTAAGAAGACACCTGCACCTGCATTACAGATAACGAAAGGAGCAGCATGAGGGTTAGAAAGTGAACCAAATACAGTTTATCTCTGTTGTCTTTGTATTCATCTCTAGAGCACAAATATTACTCCACTCAGTTACTTCCTTCACGAGACGTTGGTGCCATGAACAAAGGGCTCGAGAATTTCATTAGTTTGAGAATCAGAGAAAAATCAGGGGATCATCAAAGGTTTTACAATCCCTCCTGAATATCTGTACCAGATAGTACGTAACTCTACATTTCTCAACCTAAATTGCTCCGTTCTAAAGATGTCATCAACACAAGAGAGAAGTTGAAGGGATCAAAGTCAACAGGATTCACCCCCAGGGGAACACAAATGTCTGCCCATGGTTTTCCTGTCTAAATGTACAATCGTTCTGCGTTTTGGTGCTCCACAGTTTCCATCGATGTAGCCCTGGTTCTGATTGTGTTGTTTGGTTTGTTTACCATTTGACAGGTTGACACTTCCACAAATCAGATGTATAGAGGAAAATTTAACAAAGTCAAAGTTTGACTGAAAGAGTTAAACACAAGCAAGCAGCACATCTAAAAATAGTTTTCAAATGTATCGTAAACTTTTAGAAAAGGCAAAAATATTTAACCTAAACTTGTAAGCAAACATGAACCAACTGCATTCATTGGGGGCTATTTTTAATTTGTGAATTAATAAATAGATGTTGCTCATTTATGTTAAGAGAATGTTTATGTTAGAAAAAATACTGCTTTCATTCAGTGAAAAGAGAAAATGTGTTACTTGGTGCAACAGTGTTGCTCATTGATGTGATCTTTATCAACACTGGAGCTCTATAGCACAGAGAAACAAGATTAACTTGGCTTTCTTTTACGCATGTTTTGATCTATTGATGAGATGTGTGACAATAAGAAACGTCTAGAATAGAGCCAGCCTTATCCTTACCATCTCTTATATGAACAAAAGCACCATTATGTCATCCCTATGTTTTTTTCTCTGCTCTCTGACAATACTGCCTGAAGGCTGTGGGGGCGTTGACAATCATTAACCTCATTAACAGGATGTACATTTCTCCTAAAGAGCCAGGGTGTTGCATCATGCTGCGATGTATTTTTTTTTTATCATTTCAGACTATTGTTGCCTCTTTTAACAAACAAGCTGGTATGACTGTTGAAGAAGCTATGGTGGCCTTCCTGAAGGCGGTGTTCCGCTGGCCGACGTTTGGCTGCGCGTTCTTTGAAGTGAAGGTGAGAGCTGCAGTCCTTTTGGTTGGGTGGAGGGATTATTTATCTCATTTATATGATGCTCTAGCTCTCTGCCTTCGAGCTCCTCCCACCCTTTGTGATAGTGGTGCATTTGTTGTTTATGTGCAAATATTCAGAATCTACTGTAACAAAGCGTTTTCTCATTTGCTCTACACATTTTTCTTTTCAGCAAACTTCAGAACAAAATTTCCCAGATATTGTGAGAATAGCCATCAGCAAGCAAGGACTCACCATCATCCACCCTAAAACCAAGGTGAGAAAAACACTCAAAAATGATCACTTAATGTACATGTTAGCATTTTTAAAACCAAGCCTTTTTTCTTAATATTTTGTTTTTTTTAAATCATTCATACGTACAAACAACTTAGGAATTTCTCTAGAGCATTACATTAAATTGTTCCTAAACGGTGCAATAATCAATGGAAAATGTATCAAATCAACAAGCCAAAGTACTTATTTTTTGCACTGACAGGCTCATCTTGTTATCCTCAGAGTCTGACAACATCACAGAAATGATCCCTGTTTAGATAGCCCTATTTGTTAGACTAAACTCCTCTTTGTTAAACTATGGAACAGCGTTAATATCTCTTTCTTCAAAGCAACCAATCTCCATTGCCAACAGCAATCATTTTTCCTCGCAGGACACAGATCTCCTGTTCAATAACTGCCTCTATAAGTTATTTTGTTTGTGTTTTTATGTGACTTTGGTAAAAGATCCCATCACATCAGCTGTAGACGAGAACCTCTCTTGTTCTGTGTGGTTAAAATGACTGTTTTTTTGTCAATGGAGTCTGTTGGCTCAAAGAAAGTGACCACTCAGATCCATCTTCATCTAAATCCAAACAGCGGTTTCTATTTTTTAGGGAAATGTTGTCAGATGTTACAAAAAATAATCTGAGTCTGTCCGTTTGAAGAAAACAAACACTTTATTGGACTCACTTTGTTAAGCCGAGTTGCCCCAAAGGTTATCAATGCCATCAGCTCACTCAGAAGTAAGAAATCTACTGAAGCAACTTTTAGTTTTTAAATATATGTCCCAGGTTTAAAGATGCCAAAATGACTCAAGAAGAGTATTCCCTTCACATCATTTTTCTATATTTATTTTACCATTAACTATTCTACTACTATTCCTTTGTCGTGTGTAGGATGTTCTGGCAAATCACCCGTTCAACCGCATTGCTAACTGGTGCAGTGGAAGCACCTACTTCCACATGACCATCGGCAGTTTAGTGAAGGGGAGCAAATTCCTGTGTGAAACCTCGCTGGTAAGATCTACTAAACACACACGTGAGCTTTAAGTGATAAACTGTCTATTTGATTTCTGTTCTTCACCACTGTGTCTTTTTCTTCTAAAGGGTTACAAGATGGACGATCTTATAACCTCCTATGTCAACATGTATCTCAGAGAGAGGAAGGCAGTACAAACCAGGAACCAGCGCTTCAACTGAACTGAGCTGCAGGGACACAAGTGTGTGACGACACAAACTTCTGTCTGTTTCTGCAGATTAACACAGACACACTCAACTTTTAGTTCATACTAAAAGAGGCAGAGCAGCAACATTTTGGTTTTTGTATTACAATCAACTCAATGATAATTTGTCAGCTCCTTAAAGAAGTTGTAGATTTCTACATTGTATTGTATTTTTCTTTGGCATTTATGCAATAACATATCCAAAGTGAACAACACATATTCTAGACACACAGTTTCTCCAATCCTTAATTCAGGGAAAGAATCTAGTGTTGAATGAGGTTTATAATACTCAAATAAAACATTCATTTTCATATATTAAAGGAGAAATATGTAACTCTGACACCTAGCGTTTAAAATGTGTACTGCATTTTACATTGGAGAGAGCTGTCTCCCCCCGCCCCCTCCTTCCGAGAGCTGATGCGCATGTGGGTTGCCATGACGTGGACACGGAAGCTTCAGTGTTTAGCCAGCTCTGCATTGGTCTTGGAACCTTTCTGCGTTCTAACCTCTCTCTATTTTCATCTCCAATATTGATCCTAGTTTGAGCACGTTTCTAAAATGCAGAGGCTTTTTCAATCAGGTAAAATCAGTTATATCTGAACCAGTTCGCTTGCCTGCTTCCATTGCTGCAACACCTGTTTTTTGCAAATGGCAAATCCAGGGGCGTCCAAAACGGCCGTGTAAAACTGCCTCCTTCTCTGGTGAAAACAAAAACAGACCATTCAGGACAGGAATCTAAACTTAGAAGGGGGACTTACTCGCTGCAGCATTGTTGTCTGATTATACAGTTAGGTCACTTTATCATTGAATTCAGCAGATATCTTACATAGTGCTCCTTTAATTAGAAACGTGTGATGAATTAAGGAATCTTTAAAAACATCTTAATGTAAAAACAAAAATAAAATTGTCAGTCTGTGTACAGAATAGCTTTATTCTCACACTGAGCTGAGTTCTGAGTTTGTTTGTTTTTACATCCCTGATACAAAAATAGGTGTTGTTTTAAAGAAATAAACCAGCCTCTCTGGCTTTTTAATGCTTTATAATCAAATACATTTTATTCTGCTTAAGTGTGCCATCCACATCCAGTGAACAAAATGAAATTAATTCAGTAAATTCACATGACAGGAAGTGTTTTACATATTTATTCAAGTTCTTTAGTCAATGTTTGGTGACAAAAATAATCATTATTGAAATCCATCATGTACTCACAAATCAGTCCAATTTGTAAACCTTCATTTTATTTGTTTATCATGAAAGATTTATGAGACTCAAACCTTCAATATTGATCTGCATGCCTTCAATAATAATAAAGGTTCCCTTTGAAGATTTCCTACACATTTATATCCATCACTCAGATCCAACACTTATTGTGTTTCATGCACTTTCTTCTTTTAAAAAACCACTGAAGCCAATTGTGAAAATAAAGGTATTCTTTAATATGAATGTTGCTTATTTATTGCATCTTGTGAAAAAGTTGACTTAAACGCACAGTGTGGGAAAAATCCCGCCACCAGGGAGCTCTGATTCAAATCCATAACAAAAGATGCCGTAGTCAAGACAAACGGGCAAAACAGACCTGAGGAAGAGACTATGTTTACCAACGATGTATCAAAGTATAATTTACATGACATTTTTATTACAGCAGGATATACGGCAACAGCACAGCAGCTTTCAGTAGCAGTTACCACTTCCTTATGTAGCGTCTTTGATCTAACATCTGGTTTCCACGGCAACTTTAAATATATCTGGCCTGTCTTTGCAGGCCGCCACGAGAAGACACGTCTCATTGCAAATATAAAATGAAGGATAACTGGATTTGATAACTTTTGGAAATATTTCAGGTAATATAAGTACTCAACAAAAAGTATAACATAGTTCAAGTCATTTTTTAATATATTTAGATATTTTAGTGCAAACATTTTAATAAAATTCTACATTGTCTACGTTTAATATCTCAGCCTGAACAATGATCCCCTCTAAACATAACAAATTAGTTTTGGTTCTGAACTGACCAAACTGCGACAGGTTCAAAATGAGTTCAGTGAAATGTTTACAGTGCTCTTCTTAGGAGAAAGTCTTGTGTTTGGCCAATTGACTTCCCTGGCCAATCACAACACAGAGGGTTGGGACAAGGTCCAAATGTTTTTTGAGAAAAAAAATCACCTCTTACTTCTATACTGAAACCCCTGGTGCAGTTCCACAAAATGTCCACTTGAGGCAGGCTGCAAAAGCCAGGCAGGAAGACCCTGCAAAGAGCCCATTTTAAATTGCCCAGCAGAAGTAAACAAGTTAACAGCCTGGTTCAGAAAGTGGTTTTGTTTTAAAAAGCTCATGTCTCTGTCGTTATACACTCTTTATGGGGCAGAAAATGTTTGTAACCCGTCCAATTTGATGATATTAAAGATGATAGTTATGCATAATTACAGGTGTAGCTGGTTTAACTTATGGGAGGGCGCACTGTAGCTATCACAAAGGTTTAAGGCTCCCCTCACCTCCTGCTGTTTGCCTGTTACTATGTTGCCAAAAGTTATTCAAGAGACACAATTTCCAGTTTGGCGTCTGCCATCGCTGGGCTTCAAAACTATTTTTCAGAAAGCAATTGGTGACATCACTGAGTTTAAATGTCCACGTTTTATACAGTCTATGTTGCATCCTTGTACAAACAAAAAGGTTTTCACTGTTCAAAAAATGTCTTCTACCTGCTAATATAGTGATGAAAATGCATAGGGTACTATAAATACACGAGTATCTTCAGAAAATAAATTCATTCTTAAATGATTCTGCTCATAAAAATAACAAAATATATGATATTTCCCCGCTGTGGGACTGCTGTTGAGTGTAACTACAGTGTCTTATTTTCTATTAAAAAGTTGTTTGAGCAGCTGTGAGCTTCTCCTTCACAGCAGTCGGAAGAACGATATACTGTATTTATGATAGTAAACACTTACACAAGGCAATGTTTTTGCTCCAGGGTTACGAGGCGCACAACAGACAGAGCTGAGACACTGAACAAAAGCGAGGGGCCGTCCCAATTAGCAGTTGGCAGTAGATTAACAGAGTAGTGATCTTAAAGCTTCTCCACAGCCCTGCACAGATAGTGCCTTCATTCAAGTGTGCAGAACAGCATTTGCATGTGGATGAAATGGAGAGGAGAAAGGGCCGATGTGTGCGACACACAGCTGTGATCTCCTTCTATGAAAGAAATATTATCCGCCCTCAGCCAGTGGGACCTCTCTCCACATCTGTCCGATGGCTATGTGACTGATTATTTTGGGCATTCCAATTCAAGATGCCCCCAGGAGGTAGAGGACCAACAAGGGCCTCTGTTTGCTCCAAGCGTCCCCCTCCTCCTCCCTCCCTGCTCTTGTTTTTCACCCACTCTCCTATAGGGAATGAGGCCCTCTGTAGAACTAAACAGCATTTACAAAAGATCATCTCTGAACACTTTAGTCATAAACATCTCCATCAACAACACAGGCCATCTTCTATCTATCAGTGGGGGGGTGGGAGTCATGGTGAAGCCGCTCGGTGAACAACCGCTGGGCCTCGTTTCCATGGATTCATACCCGACGACTCATTGCGACTGAGGCATGCCATTCTTCTCCCCTGCGGCTTAAATGTGCAGCTTATTCTGACTCAGGCTATTGTGGAGCGCACAAGTGGCTCTCTGAGGAGAAGGGGATGGAGAAAGAAAGGGTGGGGTCAGGGTTCAAACGAAAGGCTCCCGTCGGGACTCCCTCCCTGTTATCAAATTTGTTGAGACACAAAAAGAGCAACAGTCTTATTCCCAAGAACATCTTGAGGAGGAGAAAGGAGGTTAGAGGACGGCATTCTTTGAGTCCGAGCTTCAGTCCCTCTACAGCTCAGCGGTCGATCTCCACAGTCGTCACTCTGCTTCACTCCTGGGCTGATTGTTGCTGAAGTTTCCCTTCAGCAGCCAAATCTTTCTTTGAGAAGTTCAGAACTCTGACAAGCTCCAAATCTCAGGTACGTCTTCTCATTTGTCCTCAGATTTAATCATGCAGTTTTTTTTAACTCAACAGTTTAAAATAAAGTAAATGGAAACTTGTTATTTACAGTAAATTTGCATATTATGTAAATCAGAAAAACAAAAACTTGGAGCTAGTCTTGATGTGTGAAAGCAAAACAATGAACATAGAAATACAACTCCCCCTGACATAATAATATTAATGAAGTATTTCTGAATCTTAAAGCCCCTGTGAGAAGTCTTTTTACAATACCTGAGTCAGACTGAATTTAATGTTCATTCCTCTTTATGACCTACTGAAGCGAACACAACCATCAGCAGCAAAGTTGATCATTCTTAATGTGGTTATTCTTAATGCCTGAAACAACTGCTGTGGGAAGGTGTTAGATGAGGTGTCTAACAGCACGCTGCTGAAAATGTTTTCAGCAGCGTACAACATGGGTGACTGTTTAAAGAAGTTTAGTTAACAAATACTTCTAACTCATGTACAGGACAAATAGGATATGTGATTATATGAAATATGTACCGTATTTCTGTCGTAAAGGTGTCGGCAGGAATGTGCAAGAATCGGTCCAGGGATTGTGCAAAGTCTACAGAATGAAATGCAGAGGGAAACTGGAAACAGTTGGAAGTTTGATGAGAGTAAAGGGGTTGGGTCCATGAATGAGGGTTACGGAAGTGACTTGGCAGAAGAAAAGTTGACAATAAAAGAAAAAGAAGACAGACAGTGAGAAGTCAGACAGCAGGATGAAGTGTGATGAGAGATGAAACTGACACCAGATTGCAGTGAAGAAATACATCAATCCTGTACTTAATATTTTATGTTCTTCAGTTAATCAGACTCGGGATGTTTTATTATGATAGACTTGCAATACATTGTATCGTATCATGTAAAACCGCATCGTATCATTTTGTATGGGATCGCATTGTATCGTATCAATCGTATCGCATAGTATCGTATGTCTGGGATCGCATTGTATCGTTTTGCATCATATCAATTGTATCACCTCGTATCGTTTTGATCGCATCGTATCGAATCGTATGGTATCGTATCGATCACATCCCATCACATTGTATCATATGAGGTCAATAGGAACAAGCTGATTTCGAAAGAAATAAACATTTGAAAAAGAGGAAAAAGCCCCAATGAGATATAATAAAAGATTTACCTTTGAGGTCTGCAAGTACCTCAGTAGACAGCATTACAGTGGAGTTAAAAGTTTGGCTCCTCAACAGGGATTCCTTCTTTTGACTGTAAGTGACACAAATGGTTGCAGTAAAACTAAATACCCTGGACAACATACACTGTACATAATAGTGAGAATGTATTGTGTAAATGAATCACTATGGTCATGTAAATCCCAGAACAGCTCAGCGGATCAGCTTTTAAAGATCAGAGCGATTAAGAGCACCTGCATCTAATTTCACATTAACTTCAATGTTTTCAGGCTTTACTGTGTCGAGTTCTTATTATAACAGATTAAACACATCACAGCATCACAACAAATTGTTACTGGCTAATCTCTGACTGCTGAGCGGTGCCAGGATGCTCGGTGTCTTCTCTGCCAACACTCTGCACATGAACGCCTGCACAGATCTGCTTACACTGATCGTTGTGATGGAGGCATATTTCAGGATCTCCTCTCTTTAGGATTATCCCTCAGGGCTCCGTATTTACGGAGGCTTTTCCATTCAGTTGTGCTGCTCCACGTTTGTTATCCCTGCTGGGACCGCAACCCTTTTTCTTTGGGGGGACTTGTTCCCCTGAATTCGCTAAGTCTGAGCCTTGGCTGAGAAAAGTCGTCTGTTGTTGGTCTCTGACTCTGAAAAGAGCCACGCGGCTACATCTGGCTGCTTCCTAATGGGCCAAAATTCTGAACAGTGAGCTGGTGAAATGGAGATTTAAACCAGTCAGATAAAGGGGACACAATCCCTTTAGCTTTTTGTTGCATTTGTGCTACATTGTTAAACACATTTCACTGTTAGACAAACTGTCCTCCCTTCAGCTTTGGAAACATCTGTGGGACGACAGTTCACCCCTGCTACATGTTTTGGTATTGTTCTTGGATCCCCCACAAATCTGAAACTTAATGAAAAACATTCTTACATAACGGATTTCTGCTCACGCCCCAGCGGTGTTTGTTCAGAAGTCAGGCTAAAGGAGGATTTAATAAGAAATTAAAAGGTGTGGACCGTCAGAGCTTGCCAGAGTTTCTGGAGGGGATCCATGAGTGGGTGGTCATTTCTGAGGTGTGTCTGAATATATCTAAAACAAATGTTTAGTCCTCTGAATCATCCTAGAAAATATATTAAAACTTTAAATTATCAGTTTGGGACTCTAGTGTACAGTTATCAGAAGTGTCTAGACTAAGTTCAGCCTATCTGCTGTTCCACCTTGAACTGGCATTATGTAAGCAATATAATCATACTACTTACAATCATGCTTCATAAAACCACCACTTGTTGAAATACATCAGATGTTTGACTCAATAAAGCTCCTGTGAGGAACTTTCAGTTTCCCTTGATTTTGGCGCCCCCTGGGTAAAAACTAGTAACTCTCTATGTCTCTATCTTACCTGATTTTTTTCTTGTAGTTGTGTTTTCTGCAACAACAAAAAAAATCTCATCCTGCTTTATTTTAACATCCAAAAAATCTCGCACTGTGAATCTTTGCAGAGAAAATTGTACAGTAAAGCTGTTTCTGCAGAGCTGTAATCCCCTCAACTGACACTGGCCCAGCAGCAGTGGTTAAAAACATTAAAAATGACTGTTTCATAAAGGGATCACTAATAATTACAGTCTGTTTCATAGCCAGTTAAAAAGTCCTCACTGGAGCTTCAAGCAAACAAAATGTAACATATGAAGTAGCTATAGTTTAAGACATGCTGGTAGGAAGCTCTTTTGTGCCATCTCTTCTTGTTTTCCCTTGAGAGTTTGCCATTCAGTGCAGATAAAAGAAGTTCTACGGACAAATCAGACTACAGAGCTGTAAAAAGAAGAGTGTATTTGTAATGGACAAAGACTTCCTGGACTTTAGACCGTGCAGAGGAAGTCTGATACTTGTCGTGATCAGGATGAAGTAATTATCCGCTCAGAGGACATGTTCACTTGAGCCGGAGACACTGACATCTTTTGTTACCTTGTGGGACTGGCACTGTGACAAACACTCCCTACCTGTGTGTGTGTGTGTGTGTGTGTGTGTGTGTGTGTGTGTGTGTGTGTGTGTGTGTGTGTGTGTGTGTGTGTGTGTGTGTGTGTGTGTGTGTGTGTGTGTGTGTGTGTGTGTGTGCGTGTGCGTGTGTGTGCGTGTGAGTGTGCGTGGACAGGAATGGCCTGGTTTCCTGTCACTGACAGTCTGCTTTATGAATACTAATAATGAACTATTACAGAAGCATTGACGACAAATTGCAGCCAACATAGCAGTGTTTTAAAACTGCTTATTTTTAAGCCAGCAGGGGGCGACTTCTTGGGATGGAAAAACATGGTTCATTGTATAAAGTCTTCCAAAAAACTACCAAAGTTCTTACATGATTAATTACCTATCTGAAGTAAATTTGTTATTGTAAGTTCTCAATTTTCTCCAATTATGGTTGATACGATCCCAGACTTTTAAACTACAATACAGTTTTGTAAAAAGCAAATGATATTGACACCCCTTTGGATACCATAGCACCAAAAACAGAATCCATAGGGACCCAATATTTGTTCATTTCTTTGTTTAAGTTACCAAAAAATCACAAGCAATCTCCTACGCACTGTCTCAATTGCTCATTACTTTTTCAAGTTTCAGCACCATTGCCAGCATATTTGTGTCATTTAGAAAGAGCTTTCTCTCCTCTTCTCATGCAGCTTTTGGTTAAAAATATGACTGAAGTGTTTTGTAAAGCTTTTCGATAGATCATCATTAAAATAGCAAATAGGTGTATTATTTATGGCATGGCTACCTTGTAATTGACAAGGGGCTACCATAGGTTGTGTTGGGGTTATACATTTAAAGAAAATGTTTCTGTCTCCTCAGCCACCAGAATGGAGTCTGCTAACACAGAGCTGCCCTTCCTGCTGTCCAATCAGTCATCAGAGAGCTGTGCAGTGGACACAACAGTGGAGAACACCCTGTTTGGATGCTTCTACATCCTGGTTTTCTTTTTAGCTCTGAACGGAAACAGCCTGGCTCTCTGGATCTTCTCCCATCAGCGAGGCTCCTCCTCTCCAGCTAACATCTTCCTGATTCACCTCGCTGTGGCAGACTTATCGTACGTGGTCATTCTCCCCCTGAGGGCCACCTACCACCTCACTGGAGGACACTGGCCCTTTGGTGAGGTGCCCTGCAGAGTGGCCGGCTTTTTGTTTTATGTCAACATGTATGCCAGTTTGTACTTCCTGGCCTGTGTGGCGGGGGATCGCTACCTGGCAGTGGTTCATGCTGTGAGGTCGCTGAAGGTCCGTCGTGCTCGCTACGCTCACATCATCAGCTTCTCTCTCTGGGCCCTGGTTACAGTCTCCATGGCACCGCTGCTGATCACCCACCAGACTACAGAGGTGGATGGCGTGACGGTGTGTTTGCAGCTGTACAGAGAGAAGGCCTCACGCAAAGCCCTCATCTCACTGGCTGTGGCCTTTACCCCACCGTTCCTCGCCACCCTGTCCTGTTACCTGCTCATTATTCACAGTCTGCGCCGCGGCTCCAGGCTAGAGCCAGCTCTCAAAATGAGGGCCCTGCGCACCATTGGTTTGGTTATGCTCATCTATGTGGTCTGTTTCCTGCCATATCATGTGAGCAGGGCCACGTTCATCCTGGGCTACAACCATCCCGGCGTCTCCTGCCAGACCCGCAGAGGTCTGAGCTTGGCCAACCGCCTCACCTCCTCCCTCACCTGTCTGAACGGCGCCATGGACCCTTTGATCTACCTGTTTGGAGCTGAGAAGTTTCGAGGCACCTTAATGCGCTTGTTTTGCAAAGACAAGGCGGGGGTGTCAGGAGCCACCAGCGGGGAATTAAAGGGAACACATGAAAGCTCTGTGAGCGCCAAGTCAGAGTTTTGAGGAAGAGAAATTGGAACTCAATCTTTGGCACAGTTTGATCCATTTCAAACACAAACTAAAATCGGCCTGACTATCAATTACCAATTTCCACAATGTGGTTAATGAACCAATGTAGCCCCTTACTTTAGAATAAAATCCTTGCTCCTTTGTCTGTCCCACTCCCTGAACCTTCACAGACTTTATTGACTCTACCACTGGCTGTGGCTAGGTGGTCATCTCTCAACCAGAAGGTCAGGGGATCGATCCCCATCACTGGCCAAACCACTTAATCCCAAAATCCCGTATGAATGTGTATAAATGGGATTAGTTAATACTGATGGACACATTACAAAGCAATCTCTGCCATCAGTGTGTGAATGGGTGGGTGTGACCTACGATGTAAAAGTGCTTTGAGTATTCAGAAGAATAGAAAAGCACCATACAAGCTCAAGCCCATTAACCATCACCTGACCTTCTTACGCATCCAAGAAGGACCTTTATGGACTTGAGTGTGGATTGCTATGTATTTTAACTCTGCATAGATCAGATTTACTTTTTATGCGCTGCATTATGGGCCCACATTTGTAACCCAGGAAAATGGACTAATGGGCACATCGATATGCAGTGAACATTGATACTGGATGGAGCTCAATGACACTAGCCCTTGCCATCAAAGTCTGCAAGACTAGGCCTACATTGCTCTACTTGCTTCATCGGCAACCTTCATTGGCAGAAAATGGTAGCCTTCAAACACACTACATTGTTCTAAAACAAGACAGGAGACTAAACAAAGTTCAAAAATGTATTTTTTAACTGCCTGTGCTTTACAAGCAGCATGTTTTTTCCAATAAGTGCATGATGTATGGGGCTGCAGCTGCCTGAGCATCGACAAGAATTTAGTCCTCACAAGTGTGTCCTCCTGTGTATGTTTAGGAATAATTTGTGTCAAACACCAAATAATTAGACATGTACAGAGTTTTAATGTATCTACTATTTGTGTACTGTATGCTCGGCCAGACTTTTATAAATTCTCATGTGTAGGCTTTTTCATTTTTAACTAAGGTATTTTTGTCTTTGTGAGTAACAATGTCAGACTGTTGGTTGTGCCACCATATTATTCAACTATTGACTAGACAGACACAAAGGTGGGGATTTTGATGTTGTCCACTTCCTTGGTTTATGGCCCTGTACTTCGACAAAAATGTCTAGTGTTTATATGCAAATTTTTTCATGCCTGCTGTACACTGTTTGTACTGTTTGCCTGGTAGCCGCCTCTTGGTTTCACAGTGAAGGCAATGCTGAATTGCGCTAAAACTGCATTTTTTTCTAATGGACAGTACGGAGAAACTCTATTGATAACATAAAGAAGTTAGATTGTAAATCTTCCATGTGGGTAATTGAGCATGCTAATGCCAGAGTCCTGTTTTTTGTAATGATTTTTCAATGACTTTTACAAATTGCTTGGAGAGACTCGAGCCCGACAAATCTTCATTGTACATATATGCATTACTTCTCTGTTCCCTAACTTTTCTACGCTATGCATTTATCTCTTTGTCACTTTTTATGATATTGCACTTTTGCATGCTAAATTATGAATCTTTTTTTTTTACTTTGAGTAGCTGTGTCTAAACATTTCTGCAAAAGAAAAGAAGCTATAGACGGAAATAAATGATTCACAATGTTTAGTCATGTATGAAATGTTCTTATTGAGTTTTTGTGATGTGTAACTATTTGATGTAAATAATTAACTTCCCTAAAACAAAGTCATAAAAAGATTTTACATTTGAAAGAGACTTCTCTGTGAAAATGCTCTACTAGCTTATTTACACTTTGCCAACTGACTCAAATGCTATTCTTTATTTCCTTTTGTGTCACCAATCTCTGCTTCTCAATGCTCTTATATAAAAATATGTATTACCTCAACAAAACAATTGTTGTCATTTGAAAGCCAAAGACTGATTTCATGTCTGCTGTGAATGAGATAATGTCTTGTCTACACTGTGACCCATGTCTGAGACATTTCTGTGAAAGTGGGAAACCTATTTCGAGTGTACAGAAACCTCTGAGGCTGCAGTGACTTGTCAGTGTGTAGTTCTCTTTTTGTGTCATGTGACCTATGTTGTGGTTTGCAAGCCGCATTTTTTTTCTTTTCCCTCCTCTTATTTCTGCAACACTTCCTGTCCATCACATGAACAAGGCAGGCCCATTCTAAACTTGTGTTTCCTGAACGTATGTCAGAGAACACCCCAGCCCTCTTGCTTGGCGGTTATACACCAAGTCATTGGACCCAGACAGAGTGATCTGATGAATATTAATGCTTTTAATTCAGATGAAAGGAAAAATATAAAAATGGCATTACGAATGCATTCAGGAACCAAATTAGGCTTTTCATGGCAATTTAAACAAACGATTTATCAGTCAATTCTTTCATTTCATCAAAAAAAGGATCCCATATTCACCCTCTTTTTTACTTCCCCTTTTCACTTTCAATTCAACAAATGGCTTCAGTATTGTTTTTTGCACATTTGCATGGAGTTATGCTTAAACCAAACAGGGACTTTGATTAATCTTTGAAGTAGTGTAATAAAGATTACTATTCAGCAAGCAAAAGTTTATATTTCGCTCACAGCTCTGTGCATTAGTCACAGAACAGGCAGAGCTGAGGGCCCTCCTCTCTCAAATAAAATGAGGAAGTTCAGAGTCAAGTTAGTGGCAGCTTCCTTTTACAGCATTCGGACTCAGAAGATGAACAAGTGAAAGAAAGGAATTAAAAGTACGCAGCATGAAAACATTAAAAATAGCCTGAAAGAAAATAACTAGCGGAGTGTACTTTGGTTTGCTGGAATCTATTTGGAAAGCTGATGCAAAACTCTTGAGCTCAGACTCGCTGATAGGAAACAGGATGCCAAGTTATCAACCTTGGTGTCATGGTAATATAACTCGATCCAAAGCCGAGGATCTACTTTCCAAAGCTGCAAGAGATGGAAGCTTCCTGATCCGGGACAGTGAGTCCATACAGGGAGCGTATGCCCTGTGTGTTCTGTAAGTAGACATTACTTGTTTCTAACCGTTTACCTGACTGCGCTTTCAGTGTTGTTCCTTTTGAAAATATTTTGCTTCATAACATTCATTATGAGCCACGAATTATCCCAATAACTGGAGGGAAGCGCATGGAAAACATGTCTGTATGCTATGTGTTTGGCATGAGGTTGAAGACAAAAAACACTCCTTTATATCATCATTTGAGCATGTTTAACATAGCCAGTTTAAAAGTTCTTCTGTACTGTAGTACATCATTTTTTCTGCAAGACAAGACCAGTTCCCCTTTATTTGCTTACTGTTCTACCACAAAGCAACACCCCTTTCCTTCTGCACCACATTTACTTTTTTCATGTTCTAACATTTATGGTTCCATAGAAAAGCTGTTTGTTTACCTGAGATAAAAAGAGTGACAGACATTTGCATTTTATTTTCTTTCAACCACAGATACCAGAACTGTGTGTACACATACAGAATCCTGCCAAATGAGGATAAGAAGCTCTCTGTCCAGGTGGGTTGACAGTCCGACACAAGCTGTCATTTACGGTAGAAATGTTCAGTATTTATATTTTAAAGGAAGATACATTTCAGTTTGTTTTCTTTTATAAAGGGCTAAATGGTGCTACAAAGATATTTTTAGTTTAGTTGTGTATTTTTAGGCATGTTTGTAACACATACATTGGCCTGTCGATAACTTGAAATACTAATAAAATGGTCCAAGATGTCAGTTGGTTGATTAAGAAGGCGGTCCGTCACTTGGAGTTGCCGTGTACATTTGTAGAGACAATCGTGGTCTCCAGAGGATGATTCTTAGTAGCTTTTGAGTTCCCAAGGATTTCCCTCAAGTGATTCCGGGAGGCTGATTTGTTTTTTTATCAAGAGGTCCTTTATTTTAGTATCTTACACCAATTCATACCACCCTCAAGATGAACTGCAGTCTTTTTGGTGAGCCTTTGATTAAGTGCCATAATCTTAAACACATTTTAAATTGGTCAAATTGTTCATGACCAATTTGATATAAAAAATTAAATTCCCTTGGCAATGTGTTGTATTTAAGACTACATAAGCCTGACTAATACACCAAATATTAAAGGTAACAGTGCTAAAATCACACTAGCTTCGTACCATCGTCAACACAGTTGTTGATTAATAATAGATGCACCTCTGTTTCCCTATATCAAGGAAGCTGTCTTAGCAGATATCAAAGATCTGATATAGCAGCAAACATCAATCAAACTGCAGAATCACTCACACAAGGATAGTGCGCAGACACCTGATAGGTGCTTTACAACAACATATGCAAAACAAACAACAATTGGTGACAAGGCTACAAAGTTAAATTTCTGAATGTGGACTTACTTCACCAGCTGTATGAGGTTGCAATGCAGCTTTTCAATTTGCAAGAGCTTATAATTATCTCTATTAGACCAAAGCTTGGCAATTAATGTTTGTTAAATATGAAATACTGTGGGTGCAAGGGATATTATGATTAAGTTTGCATTGGTCTAAACTAAAGGGAAAACAAAGCTCTGGCAGCAGATTGCAGTTGAAGCCATGTTTTTGAAAGTGGTTAGTGAACAGTTAAGAATGACTATGAGCTAAAACTATGAAAAAATACCTTTGGCTAAGATAGGAACTAAGACAATTATAGTTGTTGTGTTGGAAACAATAAAAGGATGACTTGAATGTGAAGATCAGTTACTATGGAGAATATAACAAAGTATCATCGGCATACAGTCTAACATTATATATGGACACTTTACCACATCAAAGGTGTAAGGGCCCATTTTTGTTCATATTTCATTTCTTTGATTAAAAGCCAACATTCAAACAAAAATATCACCTAAAATAGATATAATGTGTATCAGTATCAATGAGCCTGAATTGTTTCTCACTTTGTAATAAATGGAGTAACAAGATGTTCTTTATTTAGTTTAAAGTATTACAAGATTAAGGTCAAAGGTGCTTGTTTTGGTTTGTGCCTACATAAAATGACAGTCCAGAAATAGTCAGACCAGAGACCAAGTTATTTTTAACTTTAAACAATACATATTTTTATGTATAAGCATACTGTGACTGGTAGTAAGAGGAAGCACAATTTTAGTCCAATTTAATGATCCATAACTGTGAGTAGAATAAAATAAATAAAAATTAAGTATTACAGCTTCAAAACCTACAAAAGGAAAAAAAGAACTGATGATATGAATGTAGCACAAGTCTCCTGGAAGAGGCCACAAATGGTGCAAGTAAAAATATTTGATATTTTGTGTGAAGTAAAATCTAAAACTTGAAGAAGAAAATTAAATAAAGGTCTTCCAGAACTACATCCACATGGCGTTAAAACCCTGCTTTGATCTGCTTTCAGGCATCAGATGGAGTTCCTATCAGGTTCTTCTCTATGCTGCCTGAGCTGGTGGAGGCGTATTACAGTACCAACATGGGTCTGGTCACACACCTGCAGTACCCTGTCCAGAGGGAGGAGGAGTCAGAGGAGGAGCCAGGTCAGACATCTTCCTTTGATCTGAATAGTAGCTTTGATGTAAAACAAATAATATTTGCCTGTCAAATGTTTAGAATTTCCTGAACATCCCATATGTCTTTGTCCTGCAGAAGCCTGTAATCTTCCACCACAGCTTCCACCCAGGAACTTTGCTGCCAACGATGTCAAAGAATATGACCCCAAGTCTTCTGAACAGGCCTGCAATTCCTTAACAGACACCTACCTGATGAGGCTGCAGCATATGGACCTTTCCTCGTACGGTTGCATTTGCAAAATTTGTATTCATGTAGAACATGAAGTTATAACTATCCTATGCTACTGTGGCCCTCAAACCTCAACAGACTGCATTTTTAAAGGTTATATCTGAAGATAGACAGAAAATATGAGGGAGAGAGTAATATTAACTTGCAGCGAATGGCTGAGGGCGTTACTTGTTGTAAAGGGTTGAAAAATGTGTTCATAATTATTTAAAATGTGTTTCGTCTTAAGCTAAAAACAAAGGTTATTAAAATGTTAAAAATGGATCACAAAATTTTAATAATTGCATAAATATATGTTTAAAGTCATTGGGACAGTGGAAAAGTTCATTACAGTGAAAATACAGTTAATTGCTTAAAGAACCAGTTAAATGAGTTAAAAAGAGACCCCAATATAATTGTTTATGTTTATGTATCTCAAATAGCTATTTAAAGCCAGATTTCCGTCCACTGAGCTAGTTACAATATTATTGCGATACCGAACCAGGTCGCTAGAGGGCGCATAGCGCTTGTGAGGAGCGCTATTCTCCTCAAACCCACATGCATTAAAGGTCCCATATTATGCTTTTTCTGGTTTTATGCGCTCTTCAGTGTGTTTTCCATATGTCCTGTGCATGTTTAGGCACATCTATGTGCAAAAATTTAAAGTCCAGACACTTTTTTCAGACTTTAGCTATTGTGAACATACAAAAGTAGGTACATAGATTAAATATACAAACCCCAAAAAGGGCATGATATGGGCTCTTCAACACCAGTATACTGGTTAACAGTGTTAGGAATTTTGTCAGTTAAGTATAAGGTTTGAAGCCGAGTAGTTTTACAGTTATGGATGTGTGAAAAGTAGAGATGTGACGATGTACACTAGTTACAGTATGCTAGGCTAACACACCTGTTGCTAATGCATAGTAACATTACGGAGCATGTGGAAATGCTGAGACACATTAAAGGGACAGACCACTGCAGGGTAAAGACACACTCCTCCACACTCCTGAGCTACCTAGGGCCCCAACACACTGTAATTAAACAAAAGGTGCATATACAGCAAAAAAAAAAAAAAATGTGAAAAAGTCGAAATTAAAATATTTCCATCAATTCAATGAGGCAAGCACAGTATTTAGAAAATGTGCTGCTAATTCGCGCAACACAATGAAATTCAGAAAGCAACAACATAAGCCAAACTCAACAGTTACCAAATCCCACAAAACCCCCGATAATAGATTCAGTCAGGGACAGCTGGTATAAATGGCCGTAATGCTATGTCCTCCCTTTCTTATCGAACAAAAATTCAAAAATCAAAATCTTCAAATAACTTACAACAGATTGTTTAATTCTTGGTGTTATCTATAGCGTAGAAATCACACCTAATAGTGTCAATGAGAAAAAGACTATCTCTAAATGGACAGATTTTTTACAGCCCAGCTGCTAGCATCCACTTCAATTCACTTTCATAGTGAATTGAAAACCATAGGTCACCGAATTTTGACCAATGACAAACCTGCAGTGTTACAGACTGTAGGGATGCTTCGGAACACATAAAATTTCGCAACACTACCAAACTCAACCGAATTTTACAACAATGAAGGGTACAAGAAGGTTACCAAAGTTGCCCGTGGTATCAAACGCGTATCCATACGGTTCATATCCTGACCGAGCCTCCGCTGCACGTCGTACGAGGAGACGTTTGATTTACGGACCTGCACATTCCGGTTCTTCTGCTTTTTTTTTTTTTACAGACCCCTCTACCTCAGGCTGGAAACAGAGCAGAGCTGTTTGGTGAAAAGTGAGAACTTTGACGCCCTTTACATCTTTGTCAAAAAATAAACTTACATATAGAGTAATGCATTCACTTGTAACTTGCATTCAAACCAGCAGATGTGGCGGCTTGTCAACTTATGGTTTTCTCCCGGAGTCATATAAAGAGTGTGTAAAATGCCAAAATCCCCCAAATTTTGTGCATTGTTTTGTAAGTGAGTGAGTTATAATGTGTGCTAATGGGAGAAAAGTTTTTAAAATGCTCCTGTGCTTCATATTTCTAGAGTACCAGAGGAGCATCTATTGGCTATCCAAGAATACTTAAGGACCTCGATCTGCTCGGACGCTGAACAAGTCCAGAATGGTTACCCTACCCTGCCAGGGCTAAAGAAGCTTACTATGGCAATCTGCAAGAATTTAAACAGGTATGGTAACCAGTCCACAGAATAATATTTAAGCTACAGTGTAAAGAGCCGGTTTTCTGACCCTCTGACCTTTATGGAGACAGTGAAATTACCCGAATCCTGCCAGCTCTGGAGATCTTTCACAGGGTGTTCGAACAACAGCTCTCTCCAGGGACTGGATATTATCCAAGACAAGTTGGTGGCAATCTCAATCCATTGCAGCATTATCAACTCACAATAATAGCCACTGTCAGCATGTTTTATTTCCTTAATTTTCAGATGTCTGGCGATTCAGGTCAATTTGTATCATTTAGGCTTGAGCAACTGACCAAACTGCTGTATTCAATAGAAGATAAGGTAAAATCATCAACTGAGTCATGGACATTCTTTGTAATTGATATACCAACAGAAACTGCCGGCACAAGATGACAGTAACATTCTCCTTTTATTCACTCAGGCTAAGAGTTCTGTGTTTGAGTCCGTCGGGCACGATGGAGGTCACAGGAAATCTCTCATACCTACTGTTACGTTTGAGGTGCGTCTCTTCATTATTTGATATTTGCCAAGCTGCTTAATGAAATGATTAAAGTTTTCTGGAGGTTTGTGCTTCTTCTGAACAGTTTCCCCTTTCACTTACAGGTCAAGCAAGAGTCTCTGGGTATTTCCACCAAGATGTTCCTGAAAGTGGATGTTGAAAGTGGGAAGCTCTACTTTAAGAAGTCAAAAGATGGACCTGAAGACAAATACTTTGTGCACAACAAAAGTATGAAATCACACCTTATCTTGTTCCTTTGTATTTGAAGGAGTGCTATTTATGTGTCTCTTGTGATGGTCAGGCTGCCATTTGGTTTGTCCAAAGCTTTGGTCAAGACTGAATTATCTCTAACAGTTATAGGATTTGGGCTGCTGTGGCTCAGTGGTAGAGTCGATCGTCTCCCAACCGTAACATTTGGGGTTCAATCCTCAGCTCCTGCAGCCATGTGTGATGTGCCCTAATTGTCCTTCTACTTAACACCGTGTGGCTCCCTCTGCACTTTGAGTAGTCAGAAGACTAGAAAAGCTATCCAAGCTCAAGTCCATTTACTATTTACGTTTGATCGGTTGGGATGAATCCTACTAATATTGTTGACCCCCTGACCTTCACTCTTCAACAGTGAGATGTTGGCAATACAATGTGATAATCTGTTCAAAGTTTATGTCATTTGTGTTTATCAGGAAAAATTAGCCTGATCTCGTGAAGAGCCAAGATGCTCATATAATAAACCTACTCAACTGGAACCAACTCAGCTTGAATTTGGTACCAGGAACTTTACTTGTCTTTGTTGTCTTAAAACAGCTGGTAATTGAGTTGAGATTTTTAGCTAACTGACAAAGAGACACAGCATCCCTGTTTTTATATCATTGTCAATGCAACAAAATAGGAACAGAGGAAAATCTGCTTTTTATGAGCTGCCATCTAGGTTGATCAGAAGAAAAATTGCTGAAATTCTCTGGGAAAGTCTTATGCTATTATACAATGCCCTGCACTGGAAAAGAGGAATTAGTTTATATCCACACCTCTCATTTTCATACTGTGATTACTTTTCAGTCCTGCAGTTGGTGAAATCCCAGAAAATGCACGCCAAACTCGCAATCGCAGTGGAGACGGAAAAAGAGAAGATTTTGCGAAAAGAGTTTGTGTTTGAAAATGCAAAGGTAAACATTTTTTATTCAAAACTCCTGTGAGGAACTTTTTCTTTGTGATGATTTTGGCGCCCCCTCTGGACAAAGCAGTACCCCTTATCTCTTTGCTGATTGTGTCCTTTACATACATATTTTTAAGAACAAAACGACTCCTCTGATGTTTTTACATGTCACAGTTATCAGAATATTTTCTGTGCGGGTTAAAAAAAATCTGTTATGCAGTGTTGAGTTGAACACTTTGTCTGATAACTACCCTGCAGCAGTGGTTTCACAGACATTAAAGAGCCCATATCATGCCCTTTTTGGGGTTCGTATATTTAATCTATGTACCTACTAAATTATGTTCACAATAGCTCAAGTTCTAAAAAAAGTGTCTGTTTTCTGCTGGGCTTTCCACAAAGAGCCAATGTGTTCAGATCAGTGATCTCACACTGACAAGACGTCACACTGGCAAATTATTTTCGAGGGGGGCTAGAACCGAACGTTACATGCAGCTAATGCTACAGCTAACAGGACGATGTAGGAGAAGCTGCGTTTCCGCGGACTTTGAATTTTTGCACATAGATGTGCCTAAACATGCACAGGACACTTGGAAAACACACTAAAGAGCATAATAACCAGAAAAAGCACAATATGACCTCTTTAATAATAACAAAATAGAAATACTCAATAATTTTGCTGATGTTCTTTCAAATCAAAAAACACATCAAAATAATTTTAAGTCCATTTCATAACCAGTTAAAATCTCTTCAAAGGAAATTTAAGGCCTCTGAAACATGTTTTTAAAGTAATTATTTATCCATAATGTTCCATTAGTAATATGTTCATTGATCTGATTTGACTAACAGTAACTTAGCAATATTAGCATTCATTTCATAAGCCTCAATACCCACAAAACTCAAAACATTTGAATTCAAATGTTGCTAAATCCTCCTGGTTAAGGAGAAGGCTAAATGTGGTGTAATTATGACATCACCCTTTAGAGATTATTCAGCAAAATTAACCAAATCAGTCGGAAGAGCACAGAAAAACACAAACAAATTAAATAACTAAAGACTGAAACTTCACTGGAAATAGTTTGTTTTATGTTCTAACATGTTTATAGGAGCTTTAGGTTTTTGTTCACATTCCTTTATGAGGCAGAATTTTCACTAGGTACTGTTTTTTAAATGTGTCTCACCAGAAAAGGGAAGGATTCTGCCAACTCCTTCAACAAATGAAGAACAAACACTCTGAAAAGCCCGAGCCAGACATGATCACAGTGTTTGTTGGCACCTGGAACATGGGTATGAATGTTAGCGTCGTAAATGTTTGAATTTCAGTTGATTAACTGGTGAAGCAACGATACAGTAACACACTTCTCCATAATTTTGCAGGTAATGCCGGTTGTCCCCACAACATCAACTCCTGGTTTCAGTGTAAAGGCCAGGGGAAGACACAGGACGACACCGCAGATCAGATCCCGCACGATTTCTATGTCATCGGGACACAGGAGGATCCTCTGGGTGAGAGGGAGTGGTCGGATACAGTGAAAGGTGTGCTGAGGAATATAACGAACATCAGCTTCAAACAGGTGAGTGACTTAGACAGAGACAAAAACAAGCGGAAACCTCTGGTGTTGAAAAATGAAGCAAATTGCAAAATCCTGCGGTTCATTGAGTGTCCACTGCTGCAGGAAGTCACATAGACACCCCTGCTAAAAGAGGCAGCGGCTGATTAGCTTTTATCTCGATCAGCACACACTGTACAGGGGATGAATTTTTAAAAACTCGTCCATTTTGATTTACTGATGGATAAGCGTTTTTCACAATCAGCTTAAAACCCGCCTCAGCTCCAGCTCTCAGCCTGTCGTTAGGTTGACTGAAAGTAAGGCTGAGTCAGGATTTCCAGTCATTAATATGCACAGTCTAGGGAAAAAGCTAAAGACTTTTGTCGAGCAGTAGCATCATATCACCTTCTAACATCCAGGTGGCAATCCACACTCTGTGGAACATTCGGATCATCGTCCTGGCCAAACCTGAGCACGAGAACAGGATCTCACATGTTTTCTCAGACAGTGTGAAGACAGGGATTGCCAACACTCTGGGTAAGCTTTTTCACTTCTCCACTATCCATTTAATGACAGTGATCAGTGATCATAACTGTGAGGTCTGTTTTGTAGGAAACAAAGGAGCAGTGGGCGTGTCCTTCATGTTCAACGGGACATCATTTGGCTTTGTGAACAGTCACCTCACCTCAGGAAGTGAGAAGAAAATCAGGTGAGGAAAACTATTACACTTCTACCAAAACCGATTCAAATGTGAAGGAAGGATTATATATGGTACTCAGATTTTTTAGCCAACAATTCTTTAAGCTGAGGTAGCTAACAGTTAGCAACAGCGACTGAGGGAATATGTTATTTTACAAACTGCTTGGAGATTTTAGGAAGATTAGGTATGTTCTATACTTTATTATATTTTCACTCTGGACCTCTCAGGACCCTGAGAGGTGACATGGATATGTTTGTTTTTTAATGCCTCCACGCTTTCTTTTTCACGCACCCGTTTTATAATTTGCATGTGCATTTTAGTAACTTGCACAAGCGTTTTTTTAAATAAAGAAATTAAAGACCATATTCCCACGGTGGCCATGTTGCCATGACGTCACGCTCAGGGTGGGAGGCCCGAATGTTGGTGTCATGCCTTACTGTTATGCTCCAGGTTTAAGTCATCTTAACCCTCGCAAATCTTTTCATTGGAGACACAATATCATGAGTTAAAAAAACACATTTAATAACCCGTTAGCTACGGCTAACGTTAACATCCAGCCACTTCCTTGTTAACATTACATTTGAATTTAAAATCGGTAATAATTTCTGAAATCTTCATTTTGAATTGTATTGTCATGATTTATACTCTTTTTTCAGACGCAATCAAAACTACATCAACATCCTGCGATTCCTGAATCTGGGAGATAAGAAGCTGAATCCGTTTGACATCACACACCGGTTCACTCACCTCTTCTGGCTCGGCGATTTAAATTATCGTGTTGAATTACCATCTACAGTAAGTTTGAAGAATGCAGTTACGTATATGAAAAAGGCCAAAAACAGATATTATTGTTGGATGATTTAAAGAACTGTTCATGAATAACTGATAGAAAAGCTCTTATTGTTAAATCTCCCCAACTCTAGCCTGCAGATTCACAATATCACAATCTGTGTCGGCTTCATGTTCGGTCTTGTCTTGACATTCACCTCATGTGGTTCAGTTAGTGGTGTTTGTCTGAGCCCTCTGCTGCTGACTCTTTTATGCAAAAAGTCACTTCCTGTCCCTCCACAGGAAGCTGAGTACATGGTGACAAAGATCAAGCAGCAGCAGTACCAGGAGCTGCTCAGTAAAGACCAGCTCAGCATGGAGAGGAATGATGGGAAGGTCTTCTTACATTTCGGTAAGCATATGGAGAGAATTGTCAGTTATGTTATGGCTACTTTTCACTATTAATCCCATGATGCAATAACACATCGAAAACTTTCACTCAATGGTATGTTGATTAGCTGAAGAGGAAATCACGTTTGCACCCACATATCGCTTTGAAAGAGACACTCGAGAGAAGTATGCCTACACAAAGGCCAAAGCAACGGGGGTAAGCTCATTTTTTAGACCTATTTTTTACCTGTAATTCTCCTGTCATTAACATTAGAGCAGACATAGTAAATACACCTTATTTTATGCAAAACATGTATATATTGCTTATGGTCAAAAAGTTAATTTGAAGATATTTTGTGGCTCAGAGAAGAATTATAATACCTTCAGTTCCATCAGGGTCAGTGTAACATATTTTAGATCTGCTGTTTGACCCACTTTTTATATTTATTCACTGGTTTTAACTCCGCAGACAAAATACAATTTGCCCTCCTGGTGTGATCGTGTCCTGCGGAAGTCATATCCTCTGGTCCATGTGGACTGCCAAGCATACGGTGAGCGATTCACGTGAGCATTATCAGAAGTTCTCTTAGTGTTTAAATGACTTTCTTGGAAGCATCAAACAAAAAAGGGGGGACATTTTGCACGTAACAAAAAGATACCTGCTGTGTGTGTGGGTGTTAGAAACTGCTCATGTGCAATTATACCTGTGTTTATAAATATCTCTTGTAAGAACACCATTTGATGTATCATAAATATCAGTGTAATGAAAACGACTTGGTGCAGGGCAATTAAAGAAAACAGCAGAAAAAAAAGCAAGATAAGCTGTACACTTTAATACAAATGAAGGTTTATTTAAACACATTTCAACCCACTGGTGTCTGTCAGGTAATTCATTTTATGCACTTTGTGATGTTGTGATTTAATTTTGGTGGAATTGAGTAAATGTGCGAGCTTCTCTTTCTTTTGACTAGTATGGATGATAAGTTCAAATGTCTTATAGATGCTCTTTACCTTTGACTAACAAGAGGTTAGGTGGACCAAAGACCAAGACTTAAAACATTGACATGATTATTAAAGATGCATCAATATATATTTCACTTCACTTGACACCCAATACATATAATTACAGCTTTAAAGTGTGACACTGCAGACACTGTAAGAGTCCTTTTACAACTTAGCAGCAGTAGCTCAGTCTGTAGGGACTTCGGTTGGGAACCGGTGGCTGTTTCAAGTCCCAGTGTTGACCAACTCTGGAAATTGGTCTGGTAGCTGGAGAGGTGCCAGATAACTTCCTGAGCAGGTGCCCTTGAGCAAGGCTTTAAGTCCCACCAGTCAACCTACTGCCAATTATTAGTCTGTGACATCCATAAGATATTTAAATGTATAATTGGTTATTTAGTCACATCTATATTTTTGATACTAGCATTATTTTTTTCTGAGTTTTTTTCCATTAAACTTTAAAGACAACCATGAATAAAATATTTGACTACTGAACTCTAAGAACAGAAAACATCAACAGCAAACAAAGTGATCTTTGTTTTCATTTTAAAAAGGTTCACTATCAACTTTACACATGCAGCTCGGGTCACTTATCACATTGTTGGTAAAAGTGTTTGCAGTGTTAGTCTGTGGCTTTAAAGAGAGACCAAACTAAAGAATGCAAAAAATGACCACAAAAACGTCATCGAGTCATTTCACTGTAAGTGGAAGTTCGAGAGTCTCGAAACCTTTTGCAAGGCAGGAGAGTGTAAAGAATGGTTCATGATATTTAAGTCTCTGCTGCATATGTTACTGTTCTTTCTTCTCCTCAATCAGTCCACAGATTACGTTTAAATGAAATAGCTGGGGTGCCTATTAATTCATGTGCTCAACTGTCCAATTGTAGGCTGCACTAATGACATCATGACAAGTGACCACTCACCAGTTTTCGCCTCATTTCAAGTGGGTGTGGCCTCCCAGTTTGTCTCCAAGCAAGGTAGGATCCCTGTTTGCAGATGACTCAGTGTTATTCTATCGAATAAGAGTTTGAGTGTTTTTTTTAATTCTATACAATCTTTTCAGATCTAAACAGCGCGACTCAAGGTGGGATACAGATCATGAACTGTGTAGCCACCTTGTTGACAAAATCAAAGACCAAGTTCTTCATTGAATACCACTCCAGCTGCTTAGAGAGTAAGTTTGATCTTTTGTGTTTGACAGTGATCATATTGTATCCTTCTTAAAAAAGGTCTTAAGACAAAAATAATATAAACACCCTTTTTGTAAATACAGAGACAGTAAAGACTTCAGAGGGAGAGAACACGGAGCATTCAGAGGGGTCAATAAAAGTTTGGTTTGGAAACCAAGTTCAGGTAAAACAATCAGTCAGTCAGTTAATAGAAAAGAGCTTCCATTTGTCTCAATGTTGCATCATTCTTCCTCTGTTGTCTTCTCCAATCTTCTCCAGCTCACACCAATCATCTGTGACCCCGAGTACCTCTTGGACCAGCACATCCTCATCTGTGTGAAGTCGACAGATAGTGACGAGTCGTACGGTAATAAACACACCACCAGATGTCATACAGATTGATTACACACAGCATTACTCAGTCTCAGAGTCACATTTCCTTTTCAGCTCACAACAGACAGTTGGTTCCAAACCAAATATAACTCTGCTGCTATGAGGTCTCTTACACATATGTATTACAGCTTCACAAACCTAAAAGAATAATTACTCTTAGATGGTTGACACAATTCAAAGACATATCTACAAAATCATCAAGATGAATTCATTCATGAAAATACGTACTAACACTTACAGTTTGCTGGTCTTTCATTCCCTACGTAGGAGAGGGCTGTGTTGCTCTGAGAGCTGCTCAGTTCTGCTACACAGAGTTCCAGATCACACTGACTCACCACGGAGAGAAGACGGGAACTTTGACAGGAGGCATACAGTTACACACCTCTGAGGGCAAGACCACGGAGAAGTTATATGGTGAGTCTGGAGAGCTCAGAACTTACCTATTTAAATGGTTCTACTTGTGAACAGTATAAAGGTTGTCACAATATCAGAATTTTAAATATGATAGGATATTAGTTAAAGTCAAATGATATCTCTTTCAATACAGCGGCAACTAAAATAGAAGTCTAATGCACTTCAAAAGAAGACATTTCTTGATTTTAATGAACAGAAATCCTGCACACTGTCTAAATTGCACAAAATTTGCAACTCGGACAATGTCACCTCCTCTGCTCTCTGTGTGTTGTAGAGACATGAGTCGTGAGTTGTGATGTGACGTGATGTAAAGTTGAATAAATTTAACATGGGGGTCTATTGGGCTTGACTCACTTTTGGAGCCAGCCTCAAGTGGTCATTTGAGGAACTGCAGTTCCTGACACCTCTGCATGAGCTTCATTTCCCATTTCTCATCCCAAATCCTATTTTATTCTGTTTTCAGATTTCATCAAAGTTGAAAAGGACGACACAGTCGCCCCAAAAGGCAAAGGCGGAGACTCAAACAAGTATGACCTTTCTTCACATGTGGCCACATCGAAATATCTTTATATCTTCTTGCTGTGCTTATATTTTTGTCTTCTTTTTCACAGGTGTTCAGTCACCCAGGCACATGATATTTCTAACCCCAACTATATGGGCGTGTCGTTCCAAAAAGGCAACGTGATCGATAAAGGTTGGAGTTACAGCATGCCACCAAAAAATAATCCAGTCACTGGGCAAGGGAGTAAAGAACCCAGGAAAGTTGGCCATGATGCGAGCACATGCAGTATCACAAATCCTACGTAAGTGATTGTTTTTGGTGCCATGTTATTCATCAATATCTGGAAAAAACTTACAATTAATACCTGATATGATTTGTAGAAAGTGACGTAAACTTTACTGACTGATCCCTTGTTTTTTAGGGGTGAAGGTGAGCAGAAGTCAGAGATGTTTGACAATCCGTTATATGGATCAATGGGAAAGTCACATTCTCGGGGACATGATCAAGACCACCAGCAGAAGGATCAACTCACACCAGCTGATGCGTTCTTTACAAGCTTTAAACAAGCAGACGGAGACCTTGATCGCCCCCCGTTGCCCACCCCACGCAACCGCTCCTTCACCTGCTCTGAGACCAAACCTCAGCCTCAGCCTCCCACCCCGCTCACCCTGCATCCGTCAGTGTACAAGAAACCGGTGGTGCCTTCACGCTCAGAAGGCGGGATGGGGCCCAACCGTCCTCCTTTACCGTCCAAGTCTCGGCCAGGTGTGCCAGAGCCTCAGATCACAAAACCCAGAGACTACAGAGAAAGCTCCGAATTCCCGAGCAAACTAAGACCGCCAGCAAGACCGGCCCAGTCACAGCAGCAAAAAGACAGTAAGGAAAAAACATGTTTGTCTACAGAAAGATTGTGAAATAGAAAATATCCCCACAAATGTCGTACATAATGTGATGGATTTGTCTTTTTTTTAAGTGTGTGCTGAAATCCCCAAGATGGGCCGTTCTGTGAAGTGAAACCAGACTGCAGCCGTGACTCTACAGCTTCCTGCTCTGCTTTTTGGAAACATAAAATATGAAAAGGCAAGCTTCAATCAGTCGATCCCCTAGCTAAATATATCACACATTGACTGAATATAAAGATGGATGAAGTGTCTCCGAATCCTCCTGTAGTACATAATGAAGCCAAAATTATACCTGTGGTGAGCGCTGAAATAGTAATTGGTAAATGGACTTGAGCTTGTATAGCACTTTTCTAGTCTTCTGACTACTCAAAGCGCTTTTACACTGCATGTCACACCAACACATTCACACCCTGATGGCAGTGGTTTCTATTTAAAGTGACCATTAGAAGTAACTAATAACTAATAACTAATAACTAAGTAACTAAAGTGTCTTGCCCAAGGACACATCATACATATTGCTGCAGTAGCAGGGGATCAAATCCCCAACCTTCAGGTTGCGAGAGACGACCAACTCTACCACTGATCCACAGCCTCCCAAATAGTGTGCATTTGGATCCAGAGTCTGCATAGTGGAGTGTTATGGTCATCGCTCGCCTTCCCCTCACCAACACACATTTGAGAAGATGTCAAACATTCCTCAGGTTGGTATAATCCACAGCAAAACAGATTCTTGTGTGTTTTAATGCAGACAAGAGTTGAATGACACATTTGTTAGAGTTTGTCAAATTGTCTCTTCCCTGATAATTTGTGGCACACGTCGCTGAAGGATCCTCATCTGTCAACAGAGCTGTCAAAGCATCATTTCTCATGTTTTTGATCTTATAGTTTAACCCATATCCCATCTTTTAACATGGAGAAGGGAGGAGCTTGTGATATTTACTGCAGCCAGTCATCAGGGGGAGCCCAAAATGTTTTGGCTTCACTTATGGGAAACTTGCATCTGCTAGCATCTATTTCCTTGACGTGAGTTTATATATCTGTGCGCTGCACACAACGCTGAAGCTGGCTAACTTAGCTTATAATTAAGACATGACACAAGGGAAACAGGAAGCATGGCAGGGTTTTAGGGGAACAAAAATATATGCACCTCTAAGGAATCAAGGGAAATACTTTTTTCCCTTGAAAAAGGGGGGGGGGGGGGGTTTACTGTAATTCAACATATTTACAAACACACAGCATAAGAACTTTGAAGAGATACAAACTTTCCATTAAGAGATATGAATATTGAATACATTTTTCAGGCTTTATTTCTTCAATGCTTACATTATATATCTGAAATTAAACTGCTTATATATATAAATACAATTCTGTTACATTTCATGTAGACTTAACACTTTATTGTAGCTCATGAATGTTTACCACACAGTGTTATCTTGCACAGACATGTTTGCCTTGAAGGTGTACAGAAAAGGTCTTATAATAAAACCGCTTTTATTCAGATGTTTCTCATAACTTCTTGTTAATAAACTGAACACATTCTGTCTGCAGTCTGACATCTAGTACTCAGACATTTCAGGTATTTGCCTCCATCTGCTGTCATCAAAAGGAACTGCATGTAGATTGAGAATTAAATGTCATCAAAGCTTGAAAAAATATTGACATTAAAGTTAACAGGAAACTAAGTGATGTCACCAACTCCTACATTTTTAACATGATATGGTTTTTATGTTCTTTCTTCTTACTGTATATTTCCCCCATGTTTTGAGTCATTTCACTGAATGTGATTTTCCCCTGTATCATATAGTCCAGTCAGCAGGCCTCTCAGGCTGAAGAGTTACACTGGGCGAACATTAAGCAGCTCTCCTCCCAGAGAGGTATCATTCATTTAACCTATGGGTCATGGCCCTCAAGGTATTAAAACGTTTGGGTCCATGAGATGAAGGTAGACACCATTCTCCCCACAAAACTGTCTCAGTCTAATTTCAGATGTCACTCAAAGATAAGCTGCTTACTGTGTTTATAAGGGGATAGGGGCCAACATGATTGGGAAGCCATAGTCTATTTATTCTCCAAAAAAAACAGTATAAAAGATATCACACAAGCAATTCAAAGGCTTCATTTGAAGAAAAAAGCACAATTCTGTAAAGTAATAGCACAAATACTAAAACAAAAAATAAAACAAACAAATGTTTATTAACAATTATAATTAACCAACATGTATATGAATGAGAATTGTATTTCCTTGTATGACTCATTCAACATGGAGTTACTCAGACACATTCACTGAAACCAAATGTTCCCGGATGACAACATCACACATCACAGATAACATGACCCCCCCCCCCCCAACAAATAATAAAACTCCCAAGAGTTCAGATTCAACCAATACCAACACAGCCCCCTAAGGCGCTGCACACAAATACAAACAAAACAAAATTAATTTATCAACTTCTTTTTAGTACATCACTTAATAACAGTTTACATAGTACAACAAACATTACACTGAATCTGACAAATGTATCTGTAATAAGTTACTTTTCTCCTCCCTTCCCATGCTTTACAAAGATATTCAGACCAAGGAAAAACATTATCAAAGAGGTTCATTATTAAGGGACTGTTTTCAACAGGAACAATATATCTCGTAAAATATGACACAGGGGACAATATGAGTTACAAATTTACATCATTTTCTACTTCATTCAGCTCACAGTATTTACATAAATAAATGTTCATCCTCAGACATCCCTCTGTATCACCCTGTTTCAATATGTAGGCTAGTAGTAACATATACCACATCTCAGTTATGTGCACACAGTGATTTACGACTTTTAGTAGTTCTTTTTATGTAGTTCACATTAAAAGCCATTCTTAAATACAATTTAAAGATATCATGTTTTGGTGTCTGCCAGATTTCGTCTGCCGATAATTTTATAAATTTAACTTGTACTTGAGATATGTAAATCAAATATATATTTATACTGCATAATAAGCTATATTATAAAAAGGGATATCAGTTTAGCATTGTCAAAAAGATAGAAGTAGAAAAGAGGAATGGCGTAGATCTCAGTGTGGTGCTATAAAGTGTTATTGTTGTCGTTTTAAAAGCTTCAATAAAGATGTCTTCAGCTCCGAAGTTCTTTTTTCTTTCAACACCTGCGAATATTTAGCGCAACTTTGGCTCCCTCAAGTGGAGATACTGGTAATTACATGTGGGTCAGTCGCTAAGATACGACGTTCTGTGATACGTCATCAACGTCAGACACACTACCACAAGAAACCAGCAGCAATAATGGTACGAATCACGTTGAATTTATTCATTTGTTTTAATCAATTATTCGACTTGAACATGAATTGAGTGGCTGGAAGTATTTACGAAACACTTAGTTTCTCTTTGTGAGTAATGTTGAAAACTGTGTGGTGTTTGCAGCGCGCCTGAATCGTGCTCGACTTTTAGCCCGCTGCTAACATTAGCATCGTCCTGTTCTGTGTTTCAGCTTTTCTACTCGTTTTTCAAGTCTCTGGTGGGGAAGGATGTAGTGGTGGAGCTCAAAAACGACCTGAGGTGATTAAACCTTTTGAATATGTCAGCAGTGTGATACCCCTCTTTGTTTAGGCCACTCTACTTACATGAATACTACATTAATGTCATGAATTAATGATTAAAGAAGTGACCAAATGATCAAAACACGACTAACAAAGTCATACAAACAGCTTACAAGTAAATACAATGTAAAGATTACAATGACAGGAAAAAGCTATGAAATTCCTTGTGGCGGCTTTTATTGCTGCTTCTTGTTAAATACTATAAGGATTGTTGTTTTGTTTGTGTGTGAGAGAAAGGTAGTTTGTTTTTTCTTTTCATTTGAAATAAGTGGATCCTTCTGAAAGGGCTTTCATTGTACCAGAGATTGAAACTTGATAAAATACTAGTAAAACTCAACCTAAATCCCTGTTTCGATACCATATTGGGTCATTTCTTGTGATCAATTAATGAATTTGCAGTTTAAAAAGTCTGTATGTGTTTGCAATTTGTGAAATGTCTCATTCTTCTCCTTAGCACCCGTCTTATGAAACAAATGTATTTATGCTAAAGATTTGATACTTTTTGATACAATCATACTACATTTATTAAATCAACGTTTTGTTTTTGTAGTATTGAACATTTTGACAGTCTTACCCTTTATTCATTTTAATCCCTCCTTTTGTCCTTTCAGCATCTGTGGAACTCTTCATTCTGTTGACCAGGTTAGAAATAACTGTCTATTATTTATAGGCTATGTGTCTTTTCTATTTTCTATGAGCACGTCCAGTTCTGACTGTAAATGTGTTCAAATCGCTGCTTTTGTGTTTTAGTACCTGAACATCAAACTCACAGACATCAGCGTCACAGATCCTGAGAAGTATCCACACATGGTAGGTCTTATCAGTCCAGCAGCACTATATTTTATACATCAATCCTCATATTGTACAGCACCAATTCAGAACATATGTTATCTCAAGACACTTTACAGAAAGAGCAGGTAAAGGACCTTACTCTTTGTTGTATTATTTACAAAGAGCACAGCTCTTATAACAACATTTAGCAAAGTTACAGTGACAAGGAAAAAAGTGCCTTTAAGAGGCAGAAACTTTGAGCAGAGCCAGACTCATGTTGAACAGCGAACTGCTGAAACTGTGCTGGGGTACAAAGGGAGTTCATATTTTGAAGTAAATACCTTTCCTGTAGACCTGTCATGAATGATAGGTGAGCCACAGGAAGTGAATGTGTTTTTTGGGGGGAGGGCCTTTGGTATTTTAACAGTTGGATACTTTTAAATTTCAGCTTTCTCTTACTGCTTTCTCCAAAGTAACCAAACCAAGTCAAACCATCGTGTTGAGTTTGTTTGAAAATGTTGCTCTCCCTTTTCAGCACCTCAAAAAATATTTACAGTATATTTATATTTATTTATCTAAACAATATACAACAATATTGTTTTACATGTTTTACTTCATCGTTGATTTGAAGTTCGATTCCTACAATGATTTACTGCTCTCTTACGGGGTCTCAGGGATCGCCACTATACAACAAGGTCCAAGGGTCAGTCCAAAAATGGAGCTAAGAGAACACTTTTTAATTTTTATGGGGTCAAAAGGTAAATGTAGACTCCAGCAACTGTTCAGTATTTAAATTAAATCCTAGACAAAGGGAACTTCAAATAAAGTTTAAAAAAAAACCATGAAAAGTTGCATGAACTGAGAAATACTCCTCCTGTTATTAGCTTTCAGATGAAAATGTTGTCTGATGTATGTCGTTTTACCTTAGTATTTTTAAGTGATGACTACTTTCAAACCTTCTAATGTCTCCTTTGATGTGTCTCCTGCAGCTGTCGGTGAAGAACTGTTTCATCCGTGGCTCCGTGGTCCGGTACGTTCAGCTGCCTGCAGATGAAGTGGACACACAGCTCCTGCAGGACGCTGCACGAAAAGAAGCCATGCAGCAGAAGCAGTGATTGACCTGCAGGGTGGGCTTTATTTCATGGGGGTGGGTGGGGTGGGTAGGGTGGAGAAACTTTTCTTTGTTGTTCTTGGATATTTGGTAGTGTTAGTTTTGACTTCAGATCATTTAAAGATGATGATACAGTTTGAGATGTATTGATCATTTTCCTCTCATTGGAGAGAGAATTTAGTTTCATTCCTGACTCTTTTTTTTTATTTTATTTTTTAAATCAATAATTTCACACACCAAAAAAAAACATCATTGGAATTGATCTTTGCCCCACAGGCTTTGTAGGCGGCTTCATTTGAAACTGTCTTTTGTTTTATTTTATCTTAAAGGAATAGATCTAAGCACCATTTAGAGTCCAGTTATGGTAAAAAATCTCTTCACCTGTTTCTGTTTCAAAATCACTGTTCATTGTCCTCAAAAATAATGACTGTTTTTTTTATGTCACTTTGAAATAAAACAATATTTTATTTATATTTGAATTCTTTTATTGTCGTTTGTGTTGTATTCTCTATCTTAAATTTGTTTACAGACATTAGGTCTGACCTTTGAAATGTGAAAGATATGGATCAATCCTAAATCAACGAGCTGTGATCGTGGGAAAGTTCTGTTGTTAATGACTTCATTGATGGGAAATCAAAATCCCATGCCATCTCTTTGTTAGTTATCCGATTCAGAATACAGATTTATCTTTAAATGAAGGAGGAGAGGGTAAAAACATGACAGTGTGTCTCAGGACTGTTCATGTGTGCTGAAGGAGTTTAATCTGTGACGTTTGAATCGACTGGCTTATCTCGAACAAACCTCTCCTTCCTCGTTACTATGTTTTCAATCTCCACTTAAGTCACTATGCAGGCAGAGCAGTGCTTAAAAAACATAAATCTGTAAACTTAAAAAGGAATGAATGAGTATATTTTCAAAAGGAAGAAATTAAGGAATGTTTTTGATAAATGGGAAAACAGGAAGACCTAAAATATGAAACGAAAACATGTTCAATTTAACACCACTTCATGTATTATGATGTTCTTATTTTCTGATATTAGGATCCGCTGTATTGTCCGCTGAGGGAAATTTGTCTTAGACAACAGTGCCACACAAAGCTGCACAATCACAATCAGAACATCCGTCAGCCAATGAAACACAAGAGTAAGACGATCCTTTGAAGTGATAAGAAAGTGACATGGACTACTTCATGTTGTACCTGTCATGTAATGTTGCTCCCTCCTCTTCAATGACATCTTCTATATCCCACCAGATAAATAGTAGAAGAATGGCAATGAGCCCAAGGATTACATATGAGGTCAAATATAAACAAGTAAGAAATATGAAAAAGCAGCTCTTATAAATAAAATGAAAACAGTGATGTCAAACAAGATTTAAAAAAATAAATAAATACAATTCCACTCCAAGAAAAAAAGCAGAGGCCGCTAAAAGCTGTTGAAGCAATGAGGTTACATATTATAAACAATATCTATGCCATAGTTAAATAGAAACGTTTGTGTCTTTAAATTGTCTATTCGTACATTTTAGCTCCTTTTTTCTTTTCTCGTCTGTGTTTGTCGGTCCTCAATGGCCAAGTTGTGAACGAGTTATTTTTCCTGCCAGGTTTGTTAATGTCCTCACATATAAATGAGTCCAAGATGATACACTCACTTTGTATACATTTATGTTTTAATTTTCCAATGTTTTTAATAATCACGTTCGGTTAGTTTTTGCAACAATCTTTCTTCCACTAGATCACAGTGCCCAAAGTTTAACAGCTTTGTGTCTGACATTAACAAGACAGTACATTGTCTTGACCTTCTTGTGCTTGTTCTCCTGTTACGTTTATCATTTTCAATGCTGTTTGCTGCTATAGTGGCTGTTTTTTAGACAAACTTACAAAGGGTTGCTTTTATTCTTATAAAACAATGATAACATTTTTTGGATTTATTTTTGCCTTATTTGATAGGACAGTGGATAGAGTAGGAAACCGGGGAGAGAGAGAGAGAGAGAGAAAAGTGGGGAATGACATGTGGAAAAGGAGCCACAGGTCTCACTCGAACCCAGACTGCCTGCTTGGAAGACTACAACATGGGCAGGACCAAACTGCTAGGCCATCTGAGCCCCTGGCAGTTCTTTTTTGAAGAGGTTTTGTAGGCTGTTAGTACAGCTATTGGACGTATAAACAGAATCTGTAATCAGTCTGACATTAACTTCAGTGCAAACTGTTAATGTTAGAGATTAGATTATTGTAACAAATCAGCACATGTTGTAAAACATTCTGGTCAAATAGAATGAAAACCTGAAGCAATCTGTGTCTCCTTCAAAGACTGTGCCTCTAAATCCTCTAATAGGTTGATTCAGTACATTAAGACACAATGGTAAACTTTCCCTTCATTAACTGGCCCATGTGTAACTGTGTCCCATTAGCATTCTTGTCAAAAGCCTGGTTTGCTACTGGACCATATACATTTCTATATTTTTCTCCAAAAGCACTAATAACAATAGAAACAGACTGCGAGTCAAAAGATATATATATATATATATATAGAGAGATAGATAGAGAGATAGAGATATATATATAGAGAGAGAGAGAGATAAAAGGACTGACTTTACCGTAGAGATGAAAGTGAAGCTCAGACAGAGGGGCATGAGATAGATTTAGATTTTTAGAGGCGGGATGTTAAAGTTATTTTTCTCTTATTTTGTTGATATCAGGCTGTGAACAGTTCAGGTAATGTTGTGGTCAAAGTTCTTTTTATGTTATCATGTTTGATTATGTCAAAATTATCAATTATAATAACAGGGTGCCTGTGGCCTAGTGGTTAGTTCGTGCGCCCCATGTACAGAGGCTTTAGTCCTTGTAGCAGGCGGCGCGGGCCAAAATCCTACTTATGGCCCCTTTCCCACACGTCATTCCCCTCTCTCTCTCCTGACTCTATCTACTGTCCTGTCTCTCTAATAAAGGCATAAGAAGCTCCAAAATAAACAAACTGAAAGTTCCTGCAGGTCAAATGCGCTTTACTCATGATTGACAAAATATGTTTCTGTTATATGTTGTTTTATTCTTACTACTAATGTTCTATCAGGTTATTTATTATACAACTGTGTGACAATAAGTGTATCATCTGTACTCACTTGAATATGACAAACTGAGTCTGGGACTTAATACATAGAAATCCATTACCTTTATTTTACATTCATACATCAATAACATTGTACAATTATTTTAATGCAGTTAAAAAAGCCCAATCCAAAAACAAGTCCTGAAGATTTACAATGATGAATTTGCATGTTTAAAGATTGGTGACAAGCCTTTAAAAATATATACACACACACCCTCTCACACACACACACACACACACACACACACACACACACACACACACACACACACACACACACACACATAAACAGAGGGATGTAGGACGAGTGGTGTCCTTGAGTTGTACCTTAATACAGCCGGGCTGAAATCAGAAGATTTCAGTCAGCATAGAGAAAGGCACATTGAATACACAGTGTATGTACAAACCAAACAAATACCTGAACACTTACACGACTTCACTGTAGGATCTAGAACAATGAGCAAAAAACTGTAAACCTTCACTTATGGAAAAACAAACCAACAAAAACACATCTATACAAATACGTCTGAAGCAAAATATTGTCTTGGTCATCACAAAGCAGTACCTTGAAATGCATTTCAACACTTAAGATTGGCTCTGCCCGCAGAGACAATCCCACAGATATAATTACACAATATGTCACAATATTTACGCAGTTGCCCACTTCATGTGCGCTGACAACTGGTCAGAGAGTAACTCATGCATATCCTCATCAGACAGCAGCAGCAGTCATCTGATATGTTTTACACTTAATCCAAATTACTACGTCTTCTCTCTTTCCCCCCCGTTCTCTTCGCATGAGAATGGCAACTTGACGTGGTGCAACATGTACGTACATCTACATAAAAATGTATAGTCAACTCTATACAGCCGCAAATCTCGTTATCTTAAAATATATGTACCACTGGTCGATCAAAATTTTCAATACTTTCAGAAAAGTAAGTTCTCCGATATAAAATACTGTATTTTCAAAAAACTGATTGTTTACATTCCATCCCTCTCAACAAAATAAAGCTTTATATGCGTACTTTCAAAGCTTAGAAACACTTCAACATACATATATATATATTTATATCTATATAGAAACAATAAAGTGACTAAGATGCCGTACGTGGCTCTACGTTCACATGTAGTGGAAACCCGTTTAGAGTGGCATACACAGCCAATTGAATTGTCTAATGAACACAGTGTGGCACTACAATTTTGGATGATTGTACAAGTTGGGGTCTTTAAATGCCAAGGTCAAGATTGCCTCCTTTGAAAAAAACAAAAAAAAAAGTTCCCTTTTTTCCAGCTCAGCATGCCTTTGTCAAGTCAGTGGGCATGTCGGCTGTGGACATGCGGTATTGGATCTTTGTGTTGGTGATGGCGCCGTGCTTCTGTCGGAGATGCAGCCGGAGCTGACTCTTGTGGCGGAAGTGCAAGTTGCATTTCTCACACTGCAAAAGGAAAGTGGTGAAAACATTATTTTACGGCGTTTAATCGTCTTGTTGTCTTAAATTTAATTCCAAAAAGGTGGTGAAGTTATTGTGGCTCTTTGAGTCAACTCACATGGTAGGGCTTCTCTCCCGTGTGGATACGCAGGTGGCTCTTTAACGTCTGCAGGTGACGGAAGCGCGTTCCACAGATCTCGCACGGATACGGCTTCTCACCCGTGTGGATCAACACATGGGCGCGCAGGTGAGCAACCTGACGTATTCAGGAAAAATGAAAAATGAAATAAGCTTCAATCAAATGATGAAAAATATCAAAAACAGCCTTTGACACTCTGCAAACGTCTTCTCAACGATACAAAAAGAACAAAAAGAATTGAAATGGTTTTCATTCAAAAGTTTCCAAAAGGTTTCACAGTGCATTGTTTTATTTGTTGAAATAAGACAGGAGATTTTCCCAGAGGAACAAATCCCACTTCTAAGGTAGACCAGGTGTGCAGCTGAAAAAGTGCATACTTTTAATTTTTCTTCTTTTAATCGGGACAAGAGTTGGCAAATCCTCAATGAAATACTTGTCAGACAGTATGTTCTGTATAAAAGCCCTAAAGGATGTTCTTCACGGTAATTACAGGTACTTTGGGTAAGCCGAAAATAACTAAAATCACCCGTAATTGCACTTGAGTATTAGTGCTATAAGTCCCATTACATCAGAGAAGACAAAATGTTAAATATGCGGGAGTCAGAGTCGTGTGTAACGGCGTTATTACCTGTACAAAACGAGCGCCGCACGTCTCACATTTGTATGGCTTCTCTCCTGAGTGGATGCGAGTGTGAGTCTTGAGGTTAGCTGGTCTGTTAAACTGAGCACCACAGATATTACAGCGATAAGGTTTCTCTCCTGGAAACAGGGAGAAGAGGACAAAGTGTAAGAATTCTGCAGCAAAAGATGATCCAACAAAAGCATAAATGAATCATTCCAGACGTACCTGTGTGGACGGTCTTGTGGCTGGCGAGGTTACCCTTGTATCGGAAAGCAGCCTGGCAGCGGTCACACTTGTATGGCTTATCGCTGTGAACTTGAAGCATGTGTTGTTTCAGCGCTTCGTCTTCGGCGAATTTGGAGTCGCATTCGTTACAGAAGAAAGTACCGTTTTCTGTTTGTGAAGAAAAGTTAAAGTTAACCTCTCCTCCCAAAATACATGATAACTTTTATGTCGCTTTTGATTATCTGTTTCAAACTAACCGCAACTGGAGTCAGAGTATTCGGAGTGCAGCTCTGCCATGTCCTCTGTTAGTCGGGACCTGGACGAGTTAGGGCAGACTTCAGAGTGCTGTGGAGACGGGGTGCCGCAAGTGGAGCAGTTCAGGCGGCTCAAGTAGTGCGGAGGGTGGCCGTCGCTGCTTCTCAGAGATCCCTCTAGTGCGCTACAGACAAAAAAAAGAACAAAAACTTTAACTCAGAAAATTATGAGAACAGATCAGATCAAACAGAATATCCTGTGAAGATAAAGTTTGCAAAATGATCCTGAAAAACATCCAAAATCCAAAACTCTAAATGTGACTTTGATCATGCTTGTTTTTGTTAAGCAAAATGGCATAAGGAAGTTCTCTACAGTACTTAATAACTGGGGTATGAAGATTTAAATGTCAAAAATACATTCTAACAAACAAGATCCTCTGCCTGATCTTCCTTTAATACCTTAAAATCCTCCCAGCAGTGTTACAATTTGATTGACATGCCAGAGAACAGTTTGTTCTTGAGCGGTATTTGAGAAGCCTCACCTGCTAATGATGTTGTTGAGACGGCTGGCCTGCGGCACAGGTAGGTCCTCACTGTGATCGCTGCTCTTGCTCGTGCTTTGCGGGTCGAGGTTCTCCGAGTCGCTGGGGTGGAGGTAAGCTTGCATGCCGAGTCTCTGAGGTGAGCGCAGCCCGGGATCCCGCAGACCCACCTCCTCCTCTTTAGCGCTCTGATTCAACACAATGAACTTGTACTTCTTCCAGTTGCGAGCTTTAGGGTCCTGCGTGCCTTGCAGGTTTTGCACTCCGCTGGTTTGGGAGAGTCCGGCATTCTTGCTGCTGCTGGACTCTGTCGGGGAGTTGGGCTGGCAGTCTGATTTGAGGGGGCTCTGCGGGCTGCTCATGAGGCTCTTGCGCCCAGTAGAGGAGATGCCCAGTGGGTAGTGCTGATGGATCAGGTCTTCCTCAGCCTGGGGAGCATGATCTTTGCCCAAGTCTTTCTGGTGCTCGAGGGTGAGCACAGGAAACGCACGCTTCCTTGTAGCAAGAGTGATAGACTGGCTGAGCCCCTCGTGGCTTTCCTTCCTCATCTCCTCTTCTCTCCCTACCTCCCTGGAAGCGTAGGTGGTGGAGTGAATAATGTTGGAGGTGCTGGTGCCGACCGCCCTGCTGTACTCTGCCCTGATGAGGTTGGCGCTGTCGTGCGGAGAACAGTGCTTGTGGTGAAGAGCGCTCTTTGAGAGGTCAGCAAAAGCGTTTTTGGCATCAGTGAGCTTGCAGAGCGGGAAGGGGAACCCTGGCATGGGAAACTGCCCGTAGAGATGGTAGTTGCTGGGGGTGCTGACCCCGTTGAACATGTTGGAGCCGTAGGGCCTCCCATCCCTGAACGGAGCTACGCGGCTGTGCATACTGTCAACAACATCATGGGGCCGGTAAGCATGGACGTCCTGAGGTAAAACCAACGGACTGACCAGAAACTCATCTCTGGGCAGCTTGGCAGCCGGATCACTGAGAGCAGAACGAGACAGTTAAAAACACAAATCAGACACGGCTCATAACGACAGAGGCCGATGTTTAATGGAGCTTTGTGGTACCAACCTGGATTTAATGAATCTGTGACAGGTGTCCACAACGTGGTCCATCTGCAGATAGATGGCTGTGTTCATGATGGCCATGATCAGACTCTCCTTTAGTGTGAGACGGGAGGTGTACATGAACTCCAGCAGGATGGCAAAGCCCTCTGGGTCCACCTTTGGGTCCAGACTGATAGCATTAAGGTTGCACTTGTGGGAGTCAGTAAAGATGGTGTAAAACAGCCCACTGCACGCAAAAGGAGAAGAGACGCAAAGATCAGTCAACTCACCTTCAAACTACAGCACTTAGTTCTGATCCTAAATAACTGAAAACACACCTGCAAGCCATGAGAACAGTCTTATGTGCACGAAACTGCTGCCTGTTGACCAGGATGGTGACATCAGTGAGGATATCTCTGCTCCGCATTCGGTTCAGGTTGAGCAGGACATCACTTGCATGGCGTGTGAACTGTATGCAGCTGTCTGCTGCGCAAGCCATTTTGTCAAGTTCTGCGGACAGAAAAAAAACCCTTCAGATTATTTTACACACCCCAAAAAAAAAAGTTTTGTAGACTTTATTTCACTAGTGTGCCACAATTTACCTCTGCGTTTACAGGCTGAAGTACAGGACACATTAAGGAGGATTTTACTGGACTGAAAGGATTTATGATTCTCAATGTGGCAGCGCCAGAAACAAATACAGCTGTTCCTCCAGAAGGCGGCGCCATTTATTAAACAAACACTGTCTAGACATTTAAATTTCTTCCTCTGGAATAATTTCTCTGGCTTACTTTCTCTCTTTATAAACAACAGATTGACACGTTTCAGTTACAAACGAAGATGAAGGAAAACATGTTGTACACCGAAAGGGACAAGGCAGGCGCAGTTAAACATATGTATGATCTTATTCCGTTATAACAGTCTTATTATTACTCTTTTTAGACTTTTTTTTTTAAATGAAAAAACAAAAATAAAAGATGAATTAAACTGACTGATTAGTTAAAAAAAATAAGTATAGAGCCTATCTTAATAATAAAGACCATTAGCTGTCCTGTGCATTTAATAAAAAAAAAAAATCTTTTGGCGCCTCTTTAAATCATTTCTCATAACTCACTCTGCACTCAATCTAACGGAAGAAAAGTTTGGTCTTCCTCTAGCATGGCGATGTCAGATTTTCACTCAGATTACTACGAGACACCAAACTAAATACAGATCACAGTTTCAGCAAGCCGCTTGCTTTTTACTGAAAACGTTGGTTGTTGTTGTTGCAAAAAATAAGATCAGAACAATAAATTTACTTTCAACTGCAAGATGCTTTCGCCTTGATTTAATATTGCAAACAAACCCTGAGCAGCTGGCTCAGAGTAAAACAGTTTTCTAGAATAAAACCTGTGACAGCGGCTTGTTGTGGAGCCCAGCAGCAGCAGCAGCAGCAGCGCGCTGGATTCACTTTTTTTCCCCCACACACACACAATAGTTCACAGAGCATTTCAGGTCAACTATCAGCCTACAGCTTTGTGGATGTGTACAGTTTGTATTTAATTGACTCGAGACAGAGTTAACTTTATAACACGCAGGCATATTTCTGACAGAATCTTCACTCAGTGTCAAGACTAAAATGTGTAACTGGACACGTCCGAAAATAGAAGCAGGACAGAATGCACCCTATGTAGACACATAATAACCTCTGATCAAAAGTGAACTACGAGATTCCCCCTGTGACAAACACACAGGCATGTAGACCACAACAACATTAAATACAATTTTCTGAAAATTGGCTGGATGACAACTCTTTAACTTCAGTCATTGAGTGTTATATTTTGAAATGACAACACATGTTTCTCTCAGCTTAAAAAGTAGCCCTAACATTTTATTTGAATTATCTTAATTTACTGGACTTTTTACGGGCTCACTATGATTGTTCAAGTGCATAAATCCTGTCCAACCAAACCAAATTCTCGAGTCCGTCACAGAAACAAGACAACACTTCGCAGGGAAAGCCTCAAAGTGTGCGCATCACTATAAAACCTTTCAACCTGGTGCAGCAGCGCGGGTTCACAGTGGAAACATTAGAGACAACTTGACTCCTGCGAGGACGTGTCATCCTGTATCGTGGAAACAACACACACACACACACACACACACACACATATATATACACACACACACACACACACACACACACCCATCAACATTAATGTTTCCGCTACAATGTTACGGTAACAGAAGGGCTTGTTCGGCGCAGCCTTTTGCGCTCCATTAGAGCAAATTATCACCGTGAAGTAAAAATACCCTGAACCCGAGGCTGCCATGCTGCCAGCAAAGTTCCTCTGACAGCGCCGCGCTGCGCTTTGACACTTTGACGCACAAAGTGGCGTTAAAATCAGAGCGCGTTTAACACTCTTAACACCGCCAACTATGTTCAGCCGAGAGCCCCGGACTAAACAGCGGACTCCGAGCAGCCTTTGACCCGCTCAAAATGCTCTCCCTCAGAGGTGTAGTTCTTTATCTGAAGCGTTCAGACAGCTTCACAGCATGACTTTGTGTCAGAGCGGTACAGGAGGCTACAGCGGAGCGGAGGGAGGCTGCTGTCAGTCCCCGCTCCGCTCCGCCGCGGACAGCCACTGCGCCGAGCCGAGCCGAGCCGAGCCACACGATCTGTCAGGGGGGGAAGCGCGCTCCTGTCACTGCAAGGAGCCACTTCAGAGTTTCGACTCTGCACTGTTCAAAACTGCCAGCAGACACAGTCACCATCAGCCCAGGCTTCAACAACACTCAAACAGCAAAAATGGGACAAATAGTTCTGTCTAAAACACCAGCAACACACAGTACATAACAACTTCGCGCCAATTAGATGAAAAAAGGAATTTAAAAAATCACCTGGTAGCGCTTTCCTAGAAACTTCTTGCATCACCACTTCTAAGAACCCCAGTTCTAAGAATCAGACGAGCACAATTCTCGGAATTTGAGCCCGAGACCGTTCCACTTTCCCGGGGCAGGGGAGAGACGTTTTTTCTACTTGTGGTAAAAACAACTTCTTTACAAAGCGGCTATTCTACAAGATATAACACATACTGCTTCTTTAGGAGGGGAAAGTAAGAAATAAGTGTTTAAAAGAGCTCAAAATTTGGTTTAAATTTGTAAAATAATGCAGAAAACTACTTAACAGTGGTCTGAACCCCCCTGCTGTTGGTTCAGTCCACAGTCACAGGACGTCGAGGCGGCGACGTCACCAGTGCCTTAAACCCAGCCCCCGAAATTCTCAGAACTAATTTATATTCTATGATTTAAGCAATGTATCGTTACGTTGGCTTCCGTCGCATTTAACACACAGACCCTACATGTACAGCACAGACCGACATCCTAATTAGCTTCACAAGGACAGGTCGATTTGACACGCTCGCCTTCTTCTTCTTATTCATGTTTTTTAGCCAGATTCCCTGCAGGTACGCTGGCTTCATAGACGGAGAACGCTGCGAATCAACACCGGGGGTTTGTGGAAATAAGGAAAGCTGTAATAGATGTATTATTCACAGGTATTTAGGCGGCGTGTGGATGTGACTGTTTAGCGGTTTGATAGTTTTATTTAATTGCAGTGCACGCTCGAAGGCGCACTCCTTGTTTGGTCGACTTTTAATCTTCTCATCTCCACATTGATATTTTGGCTTTTTAACTGTTGACCTGTTCTGCCGTGCAGCATAGAAATGACTGGATTGAGGATTAAATAGAAAAGTTGTTGCATGAAAGCGTCATTCACTGCAGCTGCACAGAAGTTATGTGAATGTTTTCAATCATTGGCTATAATTCTTAATGATGCAGATAGGTGTGTAGGTGAAATGCTAATATTTAAATGATATTATACATTGTGAAATTCAGTGTTAAGGTCATATGTTGCTGTTTTTGGAGCTGTTAGTATAACATGCCTTTAAAGTCCACCTGTCATACTTTAGACATGTTTCTGCTTGCTGAAGAAATTACCTTTTTAATTGGACCTGAAAAAGCATGCTTGTTGAATTGACCATGTAAAGTCATGTGCACACTTTGTACAAAAACATTGCTCATTGAAATGCAAAGTGAAACATTCCTGGAAAATTAATTGAATGCATTGCTGTGATTTCCCCCCCTCTTCCATTTAATTTAAGGCATGTGTACTCCCTGTTGCATCATTTCGCAGACTTGGGCAAGAATAAACGGAGCCCTTTTTTTTTTTTTCCTCCTAACTTTTCAGCTTACTGGTGTTGTGTTTTACTTCATGTTTCTTTCACATGAAAGCAGCCAGGCTTGCGAGTAACTCAGTGGCAGCGCAGAGAGGTTGAACTGTGTAGTCTGTTTTATCTCTGAGGATGAGAAGTGGTGTGATGATTTTTACCAGTTCAAATGTGCTTGTGTGTGACAGCATGAATCTGAAAAGATGCATTAATTTCATGATTTGTGAAAAAAGCATTTAGTGTCAGTGACTCACCTTGGAAACTTTGTTTGTGGGGATTCCATATCACCGATTCCCCGTCTTTTCTCACCCCGCTCACACCATGGCACAGAAGGAGCATTTGTTGCGCTGATAACAGATAACACAGATGAGTTCAAGTCAATTTAACGTGTAGTCATTTTGTTTTATTAACAGTGAAAATAGACTGGAAAACCTCTCCTTTCAAAATGTGATATTTATCTCAAGTTGTTTTAACAATAGAAAATAACAGAGAACCCATATAGTTCAAGTTAAAGGCTGAGGTCGCACTGATTTATCATTTTAATATTTGTAAAGATCCGTGAACAAACAAAGATACAAGTATGAGCTTTTCTTAAGTCTTGTTATTAATGTGATTAATAAGTCAAGACAGCACAAGCCATGTTCAAACAGACAGCCTCGTCATCTGCAGTGGATTTAGATTTTTTCACATATCAACTGATGGATGATTCAATATTTTTTTTTTAAGTATTAGGGGAATATCTTGTAAATTCCTCTTTATTCTAATACTTTTATTTTTATGATGGAGAATACATTTTAAGCTCAGGTCTGGATTTGAATGTCAAATTATTTTCCTCCTGATTAAACATTAATGGTGAATTTTTGAAAAGATTAAAAAAATCTCCCCACCATGGTCATTGTCTCTATAACACATACATGAGCTTGAATTATCATCATCAGGGATATTTCAGCAGACAGCTGCCATCAGTGTACAACAGACATGTAATAAGCATCCACATGAATCAGAAACATCGCCTTTCTTTTCTCTTTTCGCTTTAACCCTTTATATGACGACACACTCCACTGTAATGTAACCAACATTTCCCTGTGGATTGCCCGTGCATCCGCCCATCTGGATCCAGCATCTCACTAAAAACACTCCAGGTGTTCACAAACCATCGGGGACAAAAAAAAAATAAAGTCTCCAAAATAATTAAGACGCACGTTTTTACAGCAATCTCCGATTCAGCACTGCCAAATAAAGACTATGTTGAGCTCCAAACAAAGAGCATCGTCAACTTTATTTCAATCCACTTGGGGGATGTTTCAGGCGCTCCAGCACAGTTATGCATAATGCACGGCCATAAACCATCCAGGAGTTAGGAGAGAGATGTGTAATTTACCGAGGCCCCATGCTGCGCCCTGCTATAGAAGGATGAGATAATTACTGCAAATCCTTGGCAAACTTTTACTCAACCATTTCCTAGCAAAAATAAATGACCCACTTACAGAGGACAGAGAAAGAGTGCAGGGTTGATCAATACCCCCCCTGATTTGAAGTGATAGGAGTGACACACGGGGCTCATTGTCACATTATGAACTGTGTATCGGTTAAACCTTGATCACCATTCAGGCTGTGTAATTAAACAACGGGTCAGGACATCAGGGTCTCTTAGGCTGCATGCTGTGCAGAAACAATCACATCAAGAGCAGGTTGTGACAGTGATTCAGGTCCGCACGGCCAGTAACAGCTGCACATTTAAAAAAAAAAAAAAAAAAGACAATCTTGTACACTTCTTCTGACACAGTGTGAAACATCTCTGAGCCGTATCATTGCCTACACTCTGTGCATGATAGGTCATTGAATAGAAATGCCCACTGACAAAAGCCCGAGGCCCGGAGGTTGCCTCACTTTTTTTTTTTCATAAACTGCACACTTTTGTCTCGTTTCACAGCAAATTTCTGCCAACTTCAGTGTTCATTGTCAGCAAAGATGTGAGTGTGGAGTTTTGTTCTGAGAGGCATGATGCAACCGAGCTGTAACACCAAACAGATAATGCTGTTAGCTACAGAGGTCTTTTTAGTTCCTTTCTTTAAAAGAATTTCTTTTTATATTGTTAAGTTTCACTTTTTTTTAACTCCATGCATCCCAGAAGCATTTTTCTTCTTCTTTTCTTTCTGCTTTTGTCCACAACAAAGTCCTCCATTTGTCAAACTCCATTCTTTCTGCAGGTCTGAATTGTAACACAGAGAACGTCTGTATAAAAAGATTTGCTCCTCTAGTCTCATTGTATGTATTTGTATGTTTTCCTTGATCTTCTATTTGAGCACATCATTGAAAACATATTGCATGCATAATTCACAACGTCAGTTAAAGAACACAGCGTGTAATAAATAGATGCTGTGAAAAATTCCATTGATGGCACTTCAAAAGATTCTCTGTGCAGGTAGTAATGAGCGCACTTGCCTCTTGCTTTTTTTAATGAACAGACGAGTCGTTCTCTGACATGGACTCATGTCTGTTTAAAAGAAAGTGTCTCCGCTCACACACTCCAGGTTAAAAAGTTGAGTTTTATCCCACTTGACAAGGATGAACACAGTGGGAGATTAGCAAGAGCACAAAATCATAGCGATAAGGAGGTCACACTTACCTGAAAGGAGTCCCTTGATTATCTGATCTGCTGTTAATATGGTCGTAAAAATGAACATTTTGGAAACACACACACTTCAGATTGTTTCACAGTGTATCTCTCTTTCTTTATGCTTTAATGGGTGCTCAAAAGTTGACTTTTATTGTAAAACTGCATCAACAGAGCTCCAGCGGTCAATAACGAGGCTCTCTGGGCATATAAAAGCCTGTTTTATTCTGCTTTATCAGTTATTTCAAAAAGAAATCACACACACACACACACACACACACACAGAAGCCAACCAAAAAAACAACAACAACTTCGGAGTAAGTTTCATCAGTGTGCCTGTGTGTGTGGATAACCTTGAGTTCACCAGTTTGCCTGTGCAAGCTACATGTTAAGGTTAAAGTCAGAGCAGAGGCGTGTTAGAGGGCTAGAATTCCAATTTAGTCAAATCAAAGCATGTAGATTCAGGACTTTCTCAAGGCCGGCGGAGAGGAGCCAGGAATGCAGCCCGCAGACTCGAACTTGATGGAATTTTCCACGCATACCAAGAACAGTCCCCTGCCAGTGTGCCATCTCCTGCATGATGGGTCAGTTCCATCCTCAACACATGAAGATTGTACACAGTAAAAGTGTGCAGTAATAACAAACATCCCCACAAATCTTCACAATCTGAGTGTTTGCACTGTTTTTCCTTTTTTCTCTCTCTCACATGCCCAGGGCAGCAAAACACAGAACTCCAAGAGCACATGAGGAGGAGTTGTTCAAATTTGGGACAACTTCTGCACAGATTAGATTCAAAAGCCTCGGCGTGTGTCTCGGCATGGGGGTTGGTTTGTATTTTAACACACATCTACTCTCCTAGATAGAGCATTTGAATGGTAAACAAGGGTCTTATTTCTTTGCACCACCCTCAATAATGATCCAATAAGAATCATCTGTCTGATTCAGCCCCTTTTTCATGCACTGCCTCCTTAACACCTTTTAGCAAGTGTCAAACTGGAGATCTCTGCACGCCAGATTAAACGTTGTGAGGCTCATTTTGAATCACAGTTTCAACACTGATTTATGGGCTCTTTCCTGCATCC